CAAATTAATCGCTAAAACTAAATTCAGAATCAAAAATCGTTTCATTTGAGCCCAAACTCGACTTAATTCGGATTAACATTATCCAACTTCCGATTAAACCGGAAGTAACGGAATAATAATTCAAATTAATCGCTAAAACTAAATTCAGAATCAAAAATCGTTTCATTTGAGCCCAAACTCGACTTAATTCGGATTAACATTATCCAACTTCCGATTAAACCGGAAGTAACGGAATAATAATTCAAATTAATCGCTAAAACTAAATTCAGAATCAAAAATCGTTTCATTTGAGCCCAAACTCGACTTAATTTGGATTAACATTAACCAACTTCCGGTTAAACCGGAAGTAAGGCTATTTTTACGATTTTTTAACAATTTTAAATCGAATTTTTAATAAAAACTTCTTTAATACATCGAATTAATCATTTTAAATCGATTTAAAAATTAAAAATCTTTTCATTCGAGCCCAAATTCGACTTAATTCGGATTAAAATTAATCAACTTCCGGTTAGACCGGAAATAAAATTCTTTTTACCATTTATTAACGATTTTAAATCGAATTTTTAATAAAAACTTTCTTAATTTGTGGAATTAATCGTTTTAAATCGATTTAAAAATTAAAAATCATTTTATTCGAGCCCAAATTCGACTTAATCCGGGTTAAAATTAACCAACTTCCGATTAAACCGGAAGTAATGGAATAATAATTCAAATTAATCGTTAAAATTAAATTCAGAATCAAAAATCGTTTCATTTGAGCCCAAACTCGACTTAATTCGGATTAAAATTAATCAACTTCCGGTTAAACCGGAAGTAAGGCTTTTCTTACGATTAATTAACGATTTTAAATCGAATTTTTAATAAAAACTTCTTTAATTTGTGGAATTAATCGTTTTAAATCGATTTACAAATTAAAAATTATTTCATTCGAGCCCAAATTCGGGTTAAAATTATCCAACTTCCGATTAAACCGAAAGTAACGGAATAATAACTCAAATTAATCGCTAAAATTAAATTTAGAATAAAAAATCGTTTCATTTGAGCCCAAACTCGACATAATTCGGATTAAAATTAATCAACTTCCGGTTAAACCGGAAGTAAGGCTCTTTTTATCATTTATTAACGATTTTAAATCGAATTTTTAATAAAAACTTCTTTAATTTGTGGAATTAATCGTTTTAAATCGATTTAAAAATTAAAAATTATTTCATTCGAGCCCAAATTCGGATTAAAATTATCCAATTTCCGATTAAACCGAAAGTAACGGAATAATAACTCAAATTAATCGCTAAAATTAAATTTAAAATAAAAAATCGTTTCATTTGAGCCCAAACTCGAGTTAATTCGGATTAAAATTAATCAACTTCCGGTTAAACCGGAAGTATGTCTCTTTTTACCATGTATTAATGATTTTAAATCGAATTTTTAATAAAAACTTCTTTAATTTGTGGTATTAATCGTTTTAAATCGATTTAAAAGTTAAAAATTATTTCATTCGAGCCCAAATTCGACTTAATTCGGGTTAAAATTAACCAACTTCCGATAAAACCGGAAGTAACGGAATAATAATTCAAATTAATCGCTAAAATTAAATTCAGAATCAAAAATCGTTTCATTTGAGCCCAAACTCGACATAATTTGGATTAAAATTAATTAACTTCCGGTTAAACCGGAAGTAAGGCTCTTTTTACCATTTATTAACGATTTTAAATCGAATTTTTAATAAAAACTTCTTTAATTTGTGGAATTAATCGTTTTAAATTGATTTAAAAATTAAAAATCATTTTATTCGAGCCCAAATTCGACTTAATTCGGATTAAAATTATCCAACTTCCGATTAAACCGGAAGTAACGGAATAATAATTCAAATTAATCGCTAAAATTAAATTCGGAATCAAAAATCGTTTCATTTGAGCCCAAACTCGACTTAATTCGGATTAAAATTAATCAACTTCCGGTTAAACCGGAAGTAAGGCTTTTTTTACCATTTATTAACGATTTTAAATCGAATTTTTAATAAAAACTTCTTTAATTTGTGGAATTAATCGTTTTAAATCGATTTAAANTAAAAAGTTATTTTCACTAAACTTATTGAGATTACAACATATTTACGGATGAAAACCTTATTTCTTAGGCTATCAATGCATAGCGACAATTACCTGTCGTTAGATAGAATTGTTTCTACCAAATGTGTGTTAATAGACTTTATGTTAATAGATTGTGTATCAATTGATCTGTCAAACGACTAAAATATTTTTAAATTGTAAATATCAATGATAAATAAGTATAGTAGCTTATTTAATAGTAGTTTAGTTAAATTAAAAAAGACATGGTTACAAAATAAAAATAAATAAATAACCCGTGTGACGTGGTGTGACGATAGCAACAAACCTTCCAACAACAAACTTTTATCCGCAATTTCCTATCTATTTTATTAGCTGATATCTTTCTTATTATTAGATATAGCAGAACACTAAATGCACCATATGAAAGCTTGATTCTTTCTTTATGAAATCGTCGGTCCTCGTTTGCCGATATGTTAATATTAAAATCAATAAAAGATGAAGAACACCGCTCTGTACGTAAAATAGCTTAATATTACCAAACTTCAAGCCCTTGTGCAATTGTTATCAAACCGAATTTTAAAAAACTGTTCACAATCAGAAAAAACGCTCCTTCAAATATCTTAATCCGGGTTTTTGTTGGTCAATATCAATTAGCATCATGGTTAAATCACCTTTAATATACATCTCTATATACAGAAACATTTAATTGCTTTACCTCTAATCAACTTTCTTATTTGATACAAGGAAAACTATAGAAGTATATCTATTTTATCAAAAATTAACTGCTCTTTTTAATGGTGTATAATACGCAGCTATCACTCACTTGTACAAGGACGTTTTTGATAAAAAAATTACAAAATTCATACGTTTCAGCCACTTTTTAACATTGTTGGGATCAATAACTTCCTTATATGACCAGGAGAAAACTATAACCAAGCAACGATCGCCGCATGTTATACACAATTAGAAAGAGCAGAAAATTATAGATAAGATAAATATACTTCTATAGTTTTTTCCTTATCAAATAAGAAATAAGAAAGATATTAGTTAAGAAAGTATATGGGAAATTACGGATACAAGTTTGTTGCTATCGGACAAATGTGGAGGAGGCTGAAAACTAGAATTCGTAAACATAAAACTAAAGCAAATTCCAATGTTTGTAAGTACCACATAGAGACTGAACATAATATAAATTATGGAGGAGTTGAGCTTTTACATTTGTGTAACAAAGGTATAAAATTGTATTTTTTCGAAATTTTAAAAATTACTAGATATAAAAATAATAACTCCATAAACAATGAACAAGTTCAATTTTTCCATAAACCTATAGTGAAGTTAGAATCTCAATTCTAAATTTATTTAACTCTCATGCTTTCTATTTACATACAATAACGGATTATAAACATTTAAAATAAATTTTTCGAATCTATTTGTATCTTATATTCTATTCAATTTTTTTTTTTTTCGAATCTATCTCTGCTCCTATCTGGCGACGCGCGACGTCCTTGTACATAGTTAATAGACACACAGTCAAACCAGTCAACCGATTTCGATATATAATATCTTATTCGAACACTTAATCTTAAGTTTTTGTGTTATTTTCGTGTATCTTCACATTATTTTGACGTTTTAGCGAAATTCGAAAGAGTTTTCGAATCGGGCATTTCCACTTTCGTATTGGCTAAGGATTGAGCTTTCGAATGAGACATTGTTTATCGAAATCGGTTCACTGGTTTTCATGTTTTAATCAAAATACTATACATGTAAAATGCTATTTAATTGGGGGCTAACTTCACATAGGTGTCATTATGAATAATTATGTTGTAATCTCAACAAGTTAGTGAAAATAACTTTTTATTTTGTGCGTGGGTATAAATTAAACAATTTNAATCGTTTCATTTGAGCCCAAACTCGACTTAATTCGGATTAAAATTAATCAACTTCCGGTTAAACCGGAAGTAAGGCTTTTCTTACCATTTATTAACGATTTTAAATCGAATTTTTAATAAAAACTCCTTTAATTTATCGAATTAATCATTTTAAATCGATTTGAAAATTAAAACCGGCAGTAAGTACCTTTTTTTACGATTATTATGCTAAACTATTCAAAAGTGACTGAAAATTTCTATCGGCATTATTCTGTTTTTTGCAGTATCAGTGTTATATGAATAATATTTCTGCCTATCGATGATCTGTTGCTAGCAGTTGTTAGCTTGTTTGTCCAACAATGTCCATTTTTCCCTCTGTAACTAATTTTATCTCAAAAACTGTTAATTCTTCCTAACTGGTGGTAGAGGTTCTTCTTCATCCATACTTGAATCGTTTGACAGCTCTAAGTCTTAATAATTATTATTATTATTATCAAGGTCGTAGTGAGGATATATCACATGATCTACTTCATCATCCGATCCAGAATCGTTGTCAGATTTATCACTTTCACTCTGTAGTATTTTTAATTTTACTTTTAGTTATTTTCAGCGCTAGATTGTAATTTTTATTAAGCTATGTCAAAATGATTCAAATTCCAAAGTTTAAACGTCAATGTGACACAAATTCAATATTACCAACTGTAACCAACTTCACAACAATTTGTCAAAATTAAATGTCAATTTTAAGAAACGTCATGTTTTTTGTACAAAAATTAGGACCTATCGAGAAAAACACGTAAAATAGCGAATATCTTTCATCATAGCGGTAAGTTAATTAGTCAGATAGTTATCAGGTATATTGTACATCCGGCCCTAAGTGAGGTTAAAAAAATCTTTTTTCGTATTGTACATAATATATTTTAAAAGATATCGAAATTACAAATTAAACATAAAACTTAAAAAAGTTAAAAACTTTAAAAGTTCTTATTATAATTTAATTTTAAAATAAATTCAAAATACACATAAAAACATAACCTCAAATTATTTTGACACATAACCTATAAAAACGACACGACTATTAAAAAAAATTAATTTACACATTAAAACTAACAAAACAAATATTTCCTACACTTCTTAGCGTTACATTTGCACAAAATCTTCTTCATATTAGCCAGGTTTTCTTCAATCACTTTCTGTCGATTCGGCGATTTAGGATCGCCGTTGTTCATGCGATAATCGAAGGTTAATTCTTGATTTTTCGCGATCGATCTCAAAGCGAACAACCCTAATCGCGGCAAATTCGGATCTAAACAATCGACCCAAACGGCCCAAACCCCGATGTTCGGTTCGCACGAATGATTTATAAAATGAGAGACGTTTCCGAATTTCGCGGCGTCCACGGTGTAGGGATTATCCGATGAGTTATAATCTAAATCGAATAAGTAAGTTCTTCCCCGAGAATCGTAAATTTTCCCTCTCTTTTCGGCTTCATCGTGCGATATAACCTCCCCGACGTATTCGCAAATAAACTCACCTCGAGTGATATTTTTTAAAGTTTTAACTCCCCAACCGCAACCGGTATTAGTTCGAAATATAGCTAAAGGGACGTGACGACCGTGTTGTAACACTCGATTGTTACAATTTGAGTCACAATCACAATTATTGTTGCATTCGTAAATGGGGCAACCCGGTGGCATATTCATTCTTTTAAATTTGTATTGAAAATAGTGCTTTTTTTCGATGTGAACTCCACAACAATTAATGCTGTTTCCATTACACGGGTTACAACTACATTTTCGTTTAATTTTCGTTAATGGGGTTATCCCATTCGAGAAAATTCTCGAATTAATGTATTGAAAATCTTTTGGGGGGTATTCTAAATCAACGTCGTTTTCGATTTTAATTAAAGCCGGTTCGTTCGCTATCGCATTAATTTGATTTTCCCAAGATTTTAATAATTCTAACTGTTTAGTACGTCTTTCCATTGCTAAAAAGTGATAAAGTGCTACTTTTTGTTCGTTAAAATTTGATTTATTTTTGTGTAAAACGTTTAATAAGACTTTACTTGATGCGATTTGGTCGGGGACGTTTGCAATTCCGTTTTTGGCGATGAAATGAAGCATTGATCGTTTCGGATCCAACAAATTTAGCATGGTGCTTAATTTGTTGTAATTTTCTTTGATGTGGGAACATAAAAAGGATTTTAGAATGTTCGGGGCGTGTTCTAAATGCTCAATCGGCTCCCAAGTACTCAAGTTTACATCGAATCCTTCCCATTTTACCAAAAATTCGTGATGATTATTCTTAAATCGGTGTTGTAGTATTTCTTCAACCACATATTCTCTTGCAAAAACTGATTTGGTGCTATTTTTAATTTTCCTTTTTTTCGATCTAGTTTCATCGTACTCTTTTTCTTCGTCATCTCGTTTACGTTTACCATTACAACTTATACCATTGTACGTTCCACTCAATCGACGCCCGTTCTTGTTATTTTGGTGGTTTTCTTTGCCGTGCAAGAATCCATTCCGTCTCGTTGATTCAACACTCTTCCGCGGCATGATTACTTGTCCGTTTTCATCAAACTGCAACCTCTCTGCAAGATCGTAATCCGCAAAGAAAACAAAAAAAAACTAAGTATAAGATTCTTATTTATAATTTGTGTTTATTTTTAAATTTACATTTGTAAAATACTAAATCATTAAATTAATTAAGAGATTTAATTGCAAAAAAGATTAAAATTATTGAAAAATTTTAATGGTAAAATGAAAAGGGGTACTTTTAAAAACTATGAAGTGGATGCAGTTTGATGGGACAAGAATCAATAAATAATCACAGTAATAAACATAATTTGATCACTTCTTCACACAAAACTCACTTGTATTAAAGCACTTCATAGGAAATAATTGGATTTTTAAATCGGCTTTAATTTTATTAAGAATAATTGGAAAAATTCAATGAATCATCATGTGGCTTAAAAATCGACGATTTTTTTTTAATCAATTTGAAATGACCCAAATTAATCGCTAAAATTAAATTCAGAATTAAAAACCGTTTTATTTGAGCCCAAACTCGATTTAATTCGGATTAAAATTAATCAACTTCCGGTTAAACCGGAAGTAAGGCTTTTTTTACGATTTTAAATAGAATTTTTAATAAAAACTTCTTTAATTTATGGAATTAATCGTTTTAAATCAATTTAGAAATTAAAAATCGCTTCATTCGAACCCAAATTCGACTTAAAATTAACCAACTTCCGATTAAACCAGAAAGATAATTCAAATTAATCATTAAAATTAAATTCAGAATCAAAAATCGTTTCATTTGAGCCCAAACTCGACTTAATTCGGACTAAAATTAATCAACTTCCGGTTAAACCGGAAGTAAGGCTTGTTTTATCATTTATTAACGATTTTAAAACGAATTTTTAATAAAAACTTCTTTAATTCATCGAATTAATCGTTTTAAATCGATTTAAAAATTAAAAATCCTTTCATTCGAGCCCAAATTCGACTTAATTCGGATTAAAATTAACCAACTTTCGATTAAACCGGAAATAGCAGAATAATAATTCAAATTAATCGTTAAAATTAAATTTAGATTCAAAAATCGTTTCATTTGAGCCCAAACTCGACTTAATTCGGATTAAAATTAATCAACTTCCGGTCAAACCGGAAGTAAGGCTTTTTTTACGATTTATTAACGATTTTAAATCGAATTTTTAATAAAAACTTCTTTAATTTATCGAATTAATCGTTTTAAATCGATTTAAAAATTATAAATCATTTCATTCGAACCCAAATTCGACTTAATTCGAATTAAAATTAACCAACTTTCGATTAAACCGGAAATAGCAGAATAATAATTCAAATTAATCGTTAAAATTAAATTTAGATTCAAAAATCGTTTCATTTGAGCCCAAACTCGACTTAATTCGGACTAAAATTAATCAACTTCCGATTAAACCGGAAGTAAGGCTTTTTTTACGATTTATTAACGATTTTAAATCGAATTTTTAATAAAAACTTCTTTAATTTATTGAATTAATCGTTTTAAATCGATTTAAAAATTAAAAATCGTTTCATTCGAACCCAAATTCGACTTAATTCGGATTAAAATTAACCAACTTTCGATTAAACCGGAAGTAGCGGAATAATAATTCAAATTAATCATTAAAATTAAATTTAGATTCAAAAATTGTTTTATTTGAGCCCAAACTCGACTTAATTCGGACTAAAATTAATCAACTTCCGGTTAAACCGGAAGTAAGGTCTTTTTTACGATTAATTAACGATTTTAAATCGGATGTTTAATAAAAACTTCTTTAATTTATCGAATTAATCATATTAAATCGTTTTAAAAATAAAAATCGTTCCATTTGAGCCCAAATTCGACTTAATTAGTATTAAAATTAGCCAACTTCCGATTAAACCGGAATTAACGGAAAAATAATTCAAAATAATCGCTAAAATTAAATTCAGAATCAAAAATCGTTTCATTTGAGCTCAAACTCGACTTAATTCGGATTAAAATTAATCAACTTCCGGTTAAACCGGAAGTAAGGTTTTTTTTACGATTTATTAACGATTTTAAATCGAATTTTTAATAAAAATTTTTTTAATTTATCGAATTAATCGTTTTAAAAATTAAAAATCGTTTCATTCGAACCCAAATTCGACTTAAAATTAACCAACTTCCGATTAAACCGGAAATAACGAAATAATAATTCAAATTAATCGCCAAAATTATATTTAGATTCAAAAATCGTTTCATTTGAGCCCAAACTCGACTTAACTCGGATTAAAATTAATCAACTTCCGGTTAAACCGGAAGTCAGACTTTTTTTTACGATTGTTAACGATTTTAAATCGATTTTTTAATAAAAATTTCTTTAATTTATCGAATTAATCGTTTTAAATCATTCTAAAAATTAAAAATCCTCTCATTCGAGCCCAAATTCGACTTAAAATTAACCAACTTCCAATTAAACCGGAAGTAGCGGAATAATAATTCAAATTAATCGTTAAAATTAAATTCAGAATCAAAAATCGTTTCATTTGAGCCCAAACTCGACTTAATTCGGATTAAAATTAATCAACTTCCGGTTAAACCGGAAGTAAGGCTTTTTTTACGATTTATTAACGATTTTAAATCGAATTTTTAATAAAAACTTCTTTAATTTATCGAATTAATCGTTTTAAATCGATTTAAAAATTAAAAATCCTTTCATTCGAGCCCAAATTCGACTTAATTCGGATTAAAATTAACCAACTTCCGATTAAACCGGAAGTAACGGAATAATAATTCAAATTAATCGTTAAAATTAAATTCAGAATCAAAAATCGTTTCATTTGAGCCCAAACTCGACTTAATTCGGATTAAAATTAATCAACTTCCGGTTAAACCGGAAGTAAGGCTTTTTTTACGATTTATTAACGATTTTAAATCGAATTTTTAATAAAAACTTCTTTAATTTATCGAATTAATCATTTTAAATCGATTTAAAAATAAAAATCGTTTCATTTGAGCCCAAATTCGTCTTAATTCGGATTAAAATTAACCAACTTCCGGTTAAACCGGAAGTAACGGAATAATAATTCAAATTAATCGCTAAAATTAAATTTAGAATCAAAAATCGTTTCATTTGAGCCCAAACTCGACTTAATTCGGACTAAAATTAATCAACTTCCGGTTAAACCGGAAGTAAGGCTTTTTTTACGATTAATTAACGATTTTAAATCGAATGATTAATAAAAACGTCTTTAATTCATCGAATTAATCGTTTTAAATCGATTTAAAAATTGAAAATTCTTTCATTCGAGCCTAAATTCGACTTAATTCGGATTAAAATCAACCAACTTCCAATTAAACCGGAAGTAGTGGAATAATAATTCAAATTAATCGTTAAAATTAAATTTAGATTCAAAAATCGTTTAATTTGAACCCAAACTCGACTTAATTCAGACTAAAATTAAGCAACTTCCGGTTTTTGGTAAATTAAAACATTTTTATCTCAAAAACTAAGAAATATTTTCAAAAACGGTTTGGACCACTAAATAGGGAAAGCTTTCTTTTATCTACTCAATAAGTTTCGAATCAATTCATAAATAAATCGATTTTACATGAATTTTTAAAGTTGAAAGAGAAAACCGGAAGTAAGGCTTTTTTTACGATTTATTAACGATTTTAAATCGAATTTTTAATAAAAACTTCTTTAATTTATCGAATTAGTCGTTTTAAATCGATTTAAAAATAAAAATCGTTTCATTTGAGTCCAAATTCGACTTAATTTGGATTAAAATTAACCAAGTAGTAATTAACCCAGTATATAGTCTTCTGAAAGCATTAAATAGTCTTTGCCAACAATATCTAGCTTTCTCCAAGCAATTAGTAATCTTTTTAACAATATTTAGCATTCTGAAATTAATTGATAGTCTTATGGAAACAGTATTTTGTCTTTAAAGGCAGATAATAGTTTCTCCTAGCAGTATTTAGTCTTCTCCAAGCAGGTTGTAATCTTTTCTAGTAGTGTATAGCTCTCTGAAAGTAGTAAGTAGTCTTATGTAGTTGTTTATTAGCACCATCTAGTTTTTTCCAAGCAGATTTTGGAAGCAGTTTGGAAGAGCATATCTTTTTTCCAAACAATTATTAAAGTCTTTGAAAGCAATAAGTAATCTTGGAAGCCTGTCCAACTTGGTCAAAACTTTTAACAGCAGTATTTAGCATTCTGGAAGCAATAGGTATTATTTAGAAAACAGTGTCTAGTCTTTTCCAATTAAGTTGTAGCCTTTTTCTGCATTATCTAGCATTTTAGAAGCAGTTTTTAGTGTTTTACTAGCAGTATTTAATCTTCTGATACCAATAATTAGTCTTTTGCCAAGAGTATCTAGAATTCAGGAACCAATAAGTTAAAGAGGGCATCATCTTTAGTTTATAAATGGTAAAATATCCTTGATTTTAGTTGTTGTGCTTCAAAAACCTAAGATACAATCCTATTTTATCCAAAAATATGCGTTTTAGTCAAATGTGCTGCAAAAATATATGATCAAAGTGATTTTTTGGTAAGTTTCACACTTTTCCACACTTTCTTTTTATTTTTAACCTGTCTTTTTGGGTCATTTCACATTGATTAAAAAAAAATTTTAAGCCACATGATGATTCTAGAATTATACCAAATAAATAAGCTTTGAAATAAACTCACCTAATTTAATAGTGATATTACGCTCAAGTTCATTTTTAAACCTAACCGTTTGTACCCCCGATATTGCTTTAACAACAGTGCTTTTTCCATGGGCTACATGCCCAATGGTCCCCATATTTATCGTTGCTTGTCTGCTAATAACCTCCGGCGAAAGCGCAGTTAGCTTCGTTACATCCTACAAAAAATTATATCATTTTAATACGTGTAACAAACATACGCGTGGATTTTTTAGGTTAGGATTTTAAAGTTTTCACGGGGCGGCTATTTGATGAATTAACCGCGTTTTTCGGGGTAAATAATAACCGATTTACTTACTAGTTTTGATAAATCTTGTTTATAAAGGTTGGGTTGCCCCGTTGTAACTCCTAAACCTTCCGGAGACGCCATCGTTTTTTGGTTAAAAAGGCGGAAAGCTTGAACTGTAACTGTCAGAATGGTACCATCTCAAAAAAAATAAAGTCACTAAAAATAATAATCGAATCGATTTAAGTGTTTCGATTGAATCTTTAATAATTTAAGATTTAATTTAAATTATATCTTAATTCTTAAAAATTATATAAAAAAAAAGAATTTAAATCAATTTAATTTAAATCAAAATTATATTCAACAAAATTAAGTGATTCAATCGAACCTAAAAAACCGGAATTGAATTGAATATTGAATTGAGGTTAGGTTTTTTGCTGAGATTTGCAGATTTAAGACCATCGTTATTTTTTCCGCTTTAAACAAGAAATGATGTCTCGTTTAAACGGTTCATCTTTGTAATAAGGTATGAAGTTTTAAATTTAAATTTGTTGAATGTATAAAAGTAGGCGGATATCAAAAAAACCGTTTTGTTATAAAAATTTTCAGTAAACGTCACCGTTCCGGATAAAAATCATTTCATCGCGTGTACCCATTAGCTTTAATTATAATAATCGCCCCCTAATTTCGTTCTAAATTATCTCTTTGAAGAGGATAAGTTACTGTTAAGATCCTAAACAAATCTTTCTAACACAAGAATGGCAGCGAACCAAACTTACAAGGTAATTAATTTTGTTTGTTTTTAATTTGGGATTAAATTTTGTTTGAATTGTAGCCGTCGGAGAGTAAACGAGAAGAATTTAGGAGGTATTTAGAAAAAACGGGTGTTATGGATGCGCTCACAAAGGCTTTGGTTAGTTTATACGAAGAACCGGATAAACCAGCTGATGCTTTAATGTAAATAAATGATTTATTTTGGTTTAAATTTAATTGATTTCGTTTTTAAAGGTATTTATTGAATAAGCTTGCCCTACAAACGGGTGGCGAAACGCTTGATTCAATAAAGAAGCGCTTACAAGAATCCACTGATAAATTGGATGCTTTGCAAAAGGAGAATGATGCATTAAAAAGTGGAAATGGAGCACCAGATCCTGACGCTCCCCCTCCTCCTGATGCACCCGCAGATGCCCCTCCTGATGCCCCAGCAGATGCACCACCACCTGATGCCCCTGCAGATGATGCTCCCCCAGCATAATTCTAAGACACATTATTATTGACAAAAAGGAAAAAAGGAATAATGTTTCATTTCCAATAAAATAAAAAAGAGTATTATTATTAATTTTTTTTTAATCAGCATATATTTTTTGTTTTTGTTAATATTTCTTCTTATTATTATTATTATTGACACAAATAAAACGGCTTTGTTTAAAGCATGTTATTATTATTTATTTTTATCTTTCTTTTTAAAGTGTAAAAGGATTTTTAATACTTATTGAGTGCCTTACAAGAAAAAGAAAGATTATTCAATAAAAAAAAAACGGCAAAATCGTACAAAAAAATCATGTTTTATTTCTTCGCCCCCGACTGTCTACGTTTTATGTCCCAATTAAAAACTCTCGCCATATTCACCTCCGTAACCGTTGTTTGATCCCTAAAAAATCCCATAACAATTTGTTTATTAGAAATATAAATAAATTTACCTTAAATAATCCAAATCTTCAGCAACTTGTTCCATGTGGGTTTTGGCGGTTTCGATATTTTTTGAAACTAAAGCTTCCGCATCTTCGATGCTATATTCAAGCATTACGTTCGCCCCCAACCAAAGACAAACGGTTTTTGTTGGAGGAACCACCGCTTTTACAAACACCAAATCGCTCATTAAGTATTCCGTTTCAAAGTCATCTTTTTGTTCTTTTAATTTCTGTAAAATTTCGAGTGTTTTTTTCAACGTTGGCATTTGCACCTCTAATTTTTTTCGTTTCATCAATAAATTAGCTTCCATAAACTTGTATTTAGCATGTTGTTCGTCGAATCTTCGTAAAACAACATCCACACTATTGTTGTTTTCTGTTTTCGACATGTAAGCATCAACATCATCCTTAAACAAAGTAAATAAATATATTTAATCTTAATTAATCAGTAGATTAAAATATTAATTAATTATATTAAAATATTTTTATCTCAAAAATGACAGATTTTTTTTAGGTTAAAAAAATTTTTTTTTGTACGTTGGTAACAAAAATTTTACATAACCTCATTGAATTAAGATTAATTTTTAACATGGTATATAAAAAAAAAAGGATGACCCCCCGGAAAAAAAGAAACGTGTTTTTTATGCTATTTTTTGTAATTCGAGTTTGTATCCTTTTTTTTTAACAAAAATAAAATAAATTTAGACAACGTAGGGAAATAGGTATGAAATAGCGGTTGGTAACACAGTAACACTTGAAAATAGAAATTTGAATTGACAATTAGAAACTGTCAAAACACAAAATTTATTCACCTGAAAAAATGTTTCATGTACACTTCCCAAAGTAAGAGAAATCATTGTGGACCTTGTATTCGATGCTAAGAACGTGTTTAAACATCCATAGACAAAAATTGTCACATTGACAACTAGAAAAATTAATGACCCAATGTCACCAACTTGAACTGGTTCCATAAAATGTTACTAAAATCTCATTACAGCATCGGAAAATTTCCCAAAGTATTAATATACGTGTCCTCTTTCCAATGAACCAACCCAACTTTATTCACTGATAATTTCTATACGAATGTTCATCTTGCCCAAGAACTTATAAAACGAAAAACGCATCTTGTAAGTACTACTATAATAAGAAGCAACAGAAAACGGAATTGTACACAAGTTGTAAAACATAAATTGAAAAATGTAGTAATGATAAAATGGAAGGACCAAAGAGATGTATGCTAACTACCAAGTATAGTGATGACACTACAATGAAACAACATCGCAAAGGAACACTTGTAAAGCCTAGTTTGGTATTGGACTAGAACGAATAAAGGCTTATCTTTCAGATCAAATGAAATCGTATTCCCACTGCCTAAAACGCGGCACAAAATGGTATAACACATCTATGGATCTGCTATAACAAATACATATATATTGTATAGAGATCATGCAATCAAAATTTAGAGTTGTTCCATCTTACTGGCTAAAATGAAATAAATACAAGTAAGGCTCGTTACTACCATCTTCTGGTTAAGCTATCTATGAGATTATTACTATGGATACGGCTACTTCACGCGCTCTGATTGGCTAGTAGATGGGNAAGGAAATGTACAAGGGCCCATTTGTAACAAAAGTGCAATAAAAACTTTCATTTCTGACACTGTTACATCTATCCACTGTGACGCCCTGTTAGATTTTTTTATGGGGGATGAAATTCTCCATATTTCTCAATAAAATATATAAAAATAGAAAAAGTAAAAACTTTTTGTGAGAAATAATTAAAATTAAAATTTATTATTAAAGAGTAGACATGTTTCGAAACGATTGTTTCATCTTTAATAACTAAACTACTCTTTAATAATAAATTTTAATTTTAATTATTTCTCACAAAAAGTTTTCTATTTTTATAGATTTTTTTATCTTTTTAAGATTTGCAATTTCTTGCTTAGCGTATAAATTAGTTTGCTCAACCAATAATGCAAGAAACTCCTCCGAAAAAAATAAGTCTACCAGCGTTTGCACTGTAAGATTTGTCGTATCCAATTTAAAACCAACGTTTTCTTGGAAAACAAATAATTCAGGGTTTTGTGGAATTTCTGTCCACAAATTGTCACCCGTACTTGATGTGCTTGCTTCGGACACATCATTATTATCTTCAGTTTCGGAGACTACTTCATAATCACTGTCCATTGAATTTTCAGAAAATTCGGAATCGCTACTGTCGTTACTACCCTCGTCCAATTGTGAATCGCTGGGATTGTCGTAAAAATCAACTTGTTTTTCAGTCCGTCGTCGTTTCTTATCCATATTGAGATATTTATAATTAATTAATAATATTAATTATAAATAAAAATTATAAAGATACACACTCAAGAAAGACGTAAAAACGTAATGCACTCCACTATATCTGATTTTCTACTGACGAAGTTAGACGCATCAAGCGACAAGTCGAAACGTNTTCCACATGAAATGAAGTAGTAATGTATTAAATCCGCCAAAAGGTTAAAAAAATTTGTCAAAATTTAGGGTACCATCACCCTTAATCAACCCTATGAAATGCCTCAATTGGGTTCAATTTGCTACTAATTAATACCCTTGGTACACTCATAACGTATACCAAATTTGGTTTTTCTAGCTTAATGTATTACGAAGATATTGAACTTTTTAAAAATTTAAGAGCCAACTTTGAAGGCCTATAACTCCTGAGGTGTTCAACTTAGTATAGAGGTAAGTTACGTTAAATCATCTTAATTTATTGTCCTCTACATGTCCCTGCTCTATGTCGGTTCTTATGTGAATCACCCTGTATATTGTATAGAGATCACGCAATCAAAATTTAGAGTTGTTCCATCTTACTGGCTAAAATGAAATAAATACAAGTAAGATGACCACACATTGGAAGAAAATAAACGTACAAGATGATGAATAAATTGATATAATATAAATAAATTGATTTAGTCTCGCTGTACCCAGTCTGCAGATTATCAATCTTTCCCCATAGACAGCATACAACCATTTCTCGTAAGAATAGCATTGTAGTGTGCCTACATAGAGAGACAAGCCGTCCGAAACAATTTTGAATACCGTGTGTTTCTTAACCTTTAGAGGACCGGGACCACCACTTAAGTGGTGGAACTAGAAACATTCGGGTTTAGTCGCACGTCTCTCAAGACGGCTACACCCGAATGATTCTAGTTCTAGGTATAGTGTTAGTTCTAGTTTTACACTTGCATTGTCACTAAACCTAACATTAGACCCAGAACTAGAAACATTTGGGTTTAACCGTACGTCTCTTGGTTTTATACCAGCTCTATCACTAGAACTAACACAAGACCAAGAACTGGAATCATTCGGGTTTAGAAGTCTTGAAAGATGTGCGGGATAAATCCGAATGATTCTAGTTCTAGGTCTAATGTTAGTTCTAGTATTAACACAGAGTTTATCTAACGAAAGGTAGTTATAAAATAAACAATTTATAGGTTAGGTGTTGGCCGGTTTAATAGGAAAATGCATGGTTAACATTTTTATGACGTCACATCGAAACTTTAATATGATTTTTTGGTATGTTATACAATTTTGAACACTTTCCTATTTTTGACGTATTTTTTGGGTCATTTCACAACGATTAAAAGAAAAATCGTCGATTTTTAAGCCACACGATGATTCTTGAATTTTATCCACTTTTTAACGTCAAAGTTGGAACTGTCAAAGTAAAAAATTATTAAATTTCATTAAAATTAGATTCAAAATATGACCGACTTCCGATTCATGATAAAAGAGGGAAATCTATTTACATATGCTGAAGTTTTACATAAAGGTTAGAGAAATTACATTAAAAATAAATAAAGAGGTTATAACATCAAAATTTGATTCAAAATATGACCGATAGATGGCGCTCAAATTAAATTTTTTTTTAACATTTTTATATCTAGGAAAGTGAGAAATGAATTAAAGAAAGTTTAAGGAAGTTTAAAGTGATTAAAAGGACTTACCTGACCTACTAGTGATAGTGGTAAGTAGCGCTAGTTAGCATAAAATATCTCTATGTTGCATATTTTTATTGCAATAAAACTAGTTTAGTGTTAGTTCTAGTCTTGAGAGACGTGCGACTAAATCCGAATGTTTCTAGTTTTCAGTCTAGTATTAGTTCTAGTATTAATCTATTCACATACAGTCTATCTAACGACAGGTAGTCATAAATGGTCATAAAATAAACAATTTATAGGTTAGGGTGGTGGCCGGTTTAACAGGAAATTGCTTGTGACGTCACATCGAAATTTTAATGCGATTTTTCGATAATTCTACACTTTATTTTTATTTCTAACGTATTTTTTTTGGTCATTTCACATCGATTCAAAAAAAAATCACCGATTTTTAAGCCACATGATTCTTTGAATTTCAAATTTTTTTAAGGTTAAGAAAAAAAAATTTTTTTTTTTGACGTTGGTAACAAAAATTTGACATAACCTCATTGAGTTATAATTAATTTTTAAAAAACTTTTATTAAACTTAAATTAATTTGTTTTTAATGAATCTTAATTAATGCAACAACTTAATCGAAGATTTCGCTTGCACTTCTTTCTTCAACCTCACTTCCATCAACATCAGAATCATCTTCATCGGGTGGTAATTCTTCATCTTCATCATTAACATTTTGATCCGTACTAATTGAGTTTTGTGACAAAATTTCTTCACCGTGTAAATCCCGGTTTTTTAAATTCCCCATCCAAAACGCCGCTGAACAATCGTTCGCAACCAACATGGCTTTTACGCGAAACACAAAAGTCTCCAAAGTTAATCGACATCGAGGAACGTGAGCAATTAAGGAGATATCTTTAGTTATTTTCGAGTGGCAACACAAATGATGCAAAAACCGTACCGTTAGTTGTAAAGTTTTTAAAATTTCGATAACTTGATCGGTTTTATTTCTTAGAAGTATTTCCATGATGGGTATTCCTTGCGATAAAAATATTTTAAAGACTCCGATTGATTGCTTCAAGAAGTGGATTAAATTCGAGTGGGATTCTTGTACTTTTACGATTGCCATTAAACCTTGAAGACTTAAAGCGGTGGTTTTCCATAACATTAAATGTTCGTTGTTTGTTAATGAAATAATTTCAATTTTAATTTTTTCTAATAAACTCGTACAAAATCGTCGGTATAAAACGTGAAAACTCGACTTAGTCACCGCTTTCAACATTTCTAAATTATCCTCCTTCGATTTTAACGAATTAACTTGTTCTTGTAGCGTTGAAATTAACCCCCCCAAAGTTTTTACGTTCGCCCCTCTTAAATAATTATTAATCAAATAATCTAATTGTAAATAGTGCTCTTTTCCAATTTCCAAGCTTAATTTTGAATCGTACCAAGGTCTCGATAATAAATTTAGACTCATCGAAATTATTTTTTTGTTGATTTCACAATTTGATGTTATTTGATGCAAATTATCGACGATTTTAATTAAATAAACGGCGGAGGTTAAATTTAACGAATTATTTGAGTAATTAACTAATTCGTTTGTTAAATCGAGGCTTAATTGGTTCAATGATTGCAATTTTTTCGAATCCTTTTTTATTAATACGTTATTTATCGCTTCTTTTAATAATTTCAGATTTTTTGGGTTCTTAAATCCGTTCCAATCAAAAATTAAGTGTAAACATTTTAGATTCGATGTAATCGTTGATTTTAACTCGTTGATTTCGGGGGTGAAGAGTTTTTGGTGGTCGAAAATGAAATTGTTTTCTTCTAAGGTTATTGTTAATCTGTTATGGATTACGTTGAATTTGTTAAGAATTTTTGGTAATAATCTGATGCAGTCGGTTATTATTTCGATGGGTTTTATTGATGAGGTGATTGAGTTTTGGGGTTTGATGTTGTGTTTTGAAATTGTTTCTAATTTTTTGGCTAAATCTTTAACGAGGAAATCAAACGAATACAAATCGATTGTTGTTTCTTGAGTTAATTGGGATAATTCTTCGAGATCGCCCGTTTCTAATTTAAGCGGATATTTTAGGAGGATCATAACGCTCGCGTCCATTTCGCGGAAATTATAAACAACATTAACATTTTTCTTCGATTTCGTAACATTCGTTGTTACACTCGACGTGGTTGTATCTAATTTGGGCCTTTTCGCTGGTTTTTTTATCTTTTTGGGATCCCCCTCAGATTCTAAACCCCCAGGTAATTTGTGATGCGGGATTTGTTTCATAACGGAGCTTAACACATTTTCGATTTCGATCAAATTCTTTAAACGCTCCAACACTTTCCTTCGAATATTTTTCGCCTTTTGCGCAACGAAAGCGCTGATTACCTCCCGAAACCAACTGGTGCAATGAAATAAGCAATCCGCGACGAATTTTAAATCATCCATTGAGTAACAGAGGATGTCTTCGAATTGGGGCAAAATTACCCCGCATCCTAACACGGCGTTAATCGGTGTTAAATCACCGTTATTTTCGATGTAGTGTAAAACCCGCACCAGGCGGAAAAAAGGGGCTAAAATTTCGATTTCGTTATTTTGATTCGTCGTTAATTCAGCGATGTTGACGTAAATTTCTGAATCAACCTCATCAACCCCATTTAAAGAAAATGACGCAATAAAATCGACGTTTGAGTTCGTCGATTTCGGAATTGAATCAGATAAATACTTATTTTGGAAATCCGCGGTTATTTTTTCATTTAACCACTTCAAAAAGTTCTTATTTAACTCATTCAATATAATAACATCAGCTAATTGGTCGTAAAATAGCGCGGTTAAACTCGGGGAATCCTCGCACGCATTTTGGGCCAAATTAAACAATTTAACACATTCCTTACATTCCCTCGACAAATTCTCCATCTCACCCTCATCTTTAATCAAAATCAAAACGTGCTTAATCATAAACACAGCCCCAATTAACCCAAATTGCTTCATTGAAGTCTTCAATGAAGTCAACTCCTTCCTAATTATAATATGCAACTCATTTTTAATCCCAGAATAATTCTCATCACCACAAACCAACGAAAAAAGTATATCAAAAACGATTTTCGCGTCATTAACACCATAAATATCGAAATATTCCAACAATAACATCATTTGATGCGCGTTTTGTTTCATTTTGGTCACATTTTCCGACAAAATCAACAAAATTTTCAAAGTCTCAGTAACATTTTTGACCCCATAAGCCCCCATTAACATAATTAAAGTCTCCACAATCCCCCTGCGCTGATTAAAATTTAAATTTTCATTATCAAAAGTCAATTTAAACATGCCCCCACAAAAATCCACCGTTTTTTTATCACAAATTAAGCAAGAACACAAAGATTTAATCGAATTTAAATAATTCTCCACGATGAATTTATCCAAATATTTCCCATAAAACTCCTCCAAATGATTTATTCTCAAAGAATCCTCTTTAACAAGCCTCTTAAACATAACCTCAACCTTTTTATTATCACTAAACGAATGCAACAAAATCAAAAATAAGATATCGATCGATTTAAATTCTTTGATTTTCCCATAAAACATCAAATACATGTCTTGGACGTCCTTAATCAACATCGAATACCCAATTTTCATGAAAATAATAACTTTATGGGATTCCCCAGCTTCTTCAAATAACAAAACATCACTTAAAGCATTTCTACATTTTTCTAAAACTCCAAATAACCCAACTTTCGGAGTATTATTAACCAAAAATTCGTATAAAACGGCGAAAAATTTAATCGCGTTTGAATCGTTTAAAAACTCAATCAAAATGTCTTCAATTTCCATTTTAGACTCAACAGATAAATTTAAAGCGTTCAAACAATCGATTATTGCAGCTGCCAAACTAAAATCTTCTCTTAATAGTTTTGAAATTTCTTTACCTGCCACATCTGATTGTGAATCAGGAATTATATACGGAATTGCATTTAACATTTCTAATCGATTCTCAAAAGTGGCAATATCTAAAACATCAACGATTTTAATTAATTTTATTTTAACGCTTTGTTTAATGTAAGGTAAGTTTGATAAAGCGCTTAAACACAATCGTAGAAATAAAGCGCTTTCGTTGGTGTTTTCGGGGGCGCAACGGGTTATCTCATCCAAAAGTTTTTTAATAATATCGCATTGTAAATCATCTATGGTTAATAACATCCTTATTAAACTATCTTGATTGATATCACCGACATCGTTTTTTCTTAAAATAGTCGGTAATAAACCCAATTTAAAATTTTGGCGGTCATCAAATAATTCCTTCAAAGTGTTGAGAAAAATTTTGAGGTTATCTTCTTTTATTCCTTGATTTAAACACTTTTCGATGTCTCTTATAACCAATGATTGCTCTTGAGTTAAAACGTGAGGTGTTTCTTCATCGTCTGATAATTTAACACCACATTTACTTAATATATCCATTTTAATAACGAAATTTTTTGTAATAACATTTATATGAAAATAAATGACAGTAAGGAATACCAACTGTCGATAATAAATTAATTATAAATAAAACGTTTTTATTCTTATAATAAATAAGAATAATTTGATGAATAAAATAATATCATTTACAATATTATTATACTTAAATTATTTATATTATAGTAACAAGACGGGGCTAATTATTAATTGATTGAAAAAGTGAGGTTAGATTATAGAAATGAAATTAACTCACCACAAATTCAGCTTCCGGGCATACTTTGGGTTTTGTGGTGGTTTCTATTTGCGCCGTTGTATTGTTTGATTCTTTTTCCATGTTCTTTTTCTTGAAATATCTCTATAAAAATAACTTTACCAAATTTGTCAATCGGTAGGATGGGTTGCTTTGGGTAATTTTATTTTTATTAAGTTGTCAAGAAAAAAATCCTATTTTAATCCTTGTTTATAGATATTAGTTTGTGTTCGTGATAACCAGATGGCAGGGCAATTTATGTGTAAATTAATACATAATCTTTTCAGTTTTTTGTTCTCTTTACACCATATTTCTTGCACTTATAACTTCTTTATAATCTGACGATTAGTTCATTCTTGTATTCCACGTATAAATTAATACATAAATTAGCCTGCCATCTGTGTATCACGAACACAAACTAACATCGGTTCAATAACTATGTATATCTATAAATAAAGTTTTAATGTTTTTAATTTTTTCTTTTTTTAAATTTTTTTTTTATTTATACTACAGTTTTTAGCCAAATTATTAAAAATCATAAAAGATTACAATATTTATTATTAATTTTTAAATCAAACAATTATTCTAAATAAAGTGTACTGATTTATCGACATTTATGACAATAATAAAATGAAGTTGGTTACGTCAAAAACGTTTTTCTTGGTTATTTTTTTTATTTAAGGACTTTTATACTTTTTCGATAAATTTTGCAAGGTAAAAACAAGATGATTGCAAACCCGATGCTTTCTAGTATTAGTGTTAATTCTAGTTTTACCGTTTCACCATCACTAGAACTAACACAAGACCTAGAATCATTCAGGATTAGCCATTTTGAAAGACGTGTGGCTAAACCCGAATGTTTCTAGGTCTAGGTCCAGTGTTAGTTCTAGTAATAGTGCTAATGTAAAACTAGAACTAACATTACAACTTTCAGAACCTGTTACTCCTGGATATCCCACAGAAATTGGTTAATCTTGTACAATTAACATTGAAGGAAACCAAGGCAGCAGTGGTTGTTTAATCCACTGTCTTCTACGTTATTTTTGAGTCAATTACGTTTCTAATATCGTAATATTTCAGTTTCTTGTTGAATATTGACAATAGGGTTAAGATCTGGGCTTTGTAATGGCTTTTGAGTTGCTTTAGACAGTTGTACATGATCCAAAATCTAACATCTAGCTAATCATTATCCTGTTGAAAGATAAAATCTCGTAAACAACCCAATTTTTGTTGCACATTGCTCAATTTTTTTTTTAATAATTATACACCCCTTCAAAGTCAGTATTCCATCGATAAAGTGAAGATTTCGGCCTCCTGCTGCTAAAAAACGTCCCAATATCATCACCAAACTTCCACCACGCTTGAATGTAGGTATCCGATTATGTGGATTACTATTTTCCAGAAGTTAAAATCCTTATTTTAGCATTTTTTGTAAAATTGTGACAACCCAAATCGTAACATAACCTAAAATTAAAATTTTTTAACTTAAAATGAGTGGAAAACATATTATGAATTTAAAACAGGTAAAAAAATCAATTTTGGTTAATTTGATTATTAATTCTTGATGAATAATGTAATAATAAATGGTTTATAATAAAGTTTATGCTACGACAACAAGTTTTGAGGTTATATCGAAGGATTTTGAGGACAATAAAAGAAATGCCGGATAAAACCTATCAAAAAGAATTATTGAATTGAAGAAATCAATGCTTAACAATAAAAATGGGGACAAAACAGGATTAAAAATTTTGTATGAAAGCTGTCAAAAAAAATGTGTCAACCCGAATCATAACATAACCTAAAATTTAATTTTTTTAACTTAAAATGAGTCGAAAACGTATACGAATTTAAAACGGGTAAAAAAATTAATTTTGGTTAATTTAATTATTAATTCTTGATGAATAACGTGATAATAAATGGTTTATAATAAAGTTTATGCTAGGGTAACAAGTTTTGAGGTTATATCGAAGGATTTTGAGGACAATAAAAGAAGTGCCGGATAAAACCCATCAAAAAGAATTATTGAATTGAAGAAATCAATGCTTAACAATAAAAATGGGGACAAAACACGATTAAAAATCTGGTATAAAAGCTGTCAAAAAAAATGTGTCAACCCAAATCATAACATAACCTAAAATTATATTTTTTTTACTTAAAATGAGTGGAAAACGTATTATAAATTTAAAACGGGTAAAAAAAATCAATTTTGGTTAATTTAATTATTAATTCTTGACGAATAACGTAATAATAAATGGTTTATAATAAAGTTTATGCTAAGGCAACAAGTTTTGAGGTTATATTGAAGGATTTTGGGGACAATAAAAGAAGTGCCTGATAAAACCCATCAAAAAGAATTGTTGAATTGAAGAAACCAATGCTTAACAATCAAAATGGGGACAAAGCACGATTAAAAATCTTGTATAAAAGCTGTCAAAAAAAATGTGTCAACCCAAATCATAACATAACCTAAAATTTAATTTTTTTAACTTAAAATTAGTGGAAAACGTATACGAATTTAAAACGGGTAAAAAAATCAATTTTGGTTAATTTCGTTATTAATTCTTGACGAATAACGTAATAATAAATGGTTTATGCTAGGGCAACACGTTTTGAGGTTATATCGAAGGATTTTGAGGACAATAAAAAAAAAGTGTCGGATAAAATAGATCAAAAATAATTGTTGGATTGAAGAAATCAATGCTTACCAACTAAAATGGGGATAAAACACGATTAAAAATCTTGTATAACAACAGTTATCTGGCAGTAAAAAAAATTGTGTCAACCCAACTCATAACATAACCTAAAATTAAAAATTTTTTTACTTAAAATGAGTGGAAAACGTATTATGAATTTAAAACAGGTAAAGCAAATCAATTTTGGTTAATTTCATTATTAATCCTCGATGAATAACGTAATAATAAATGATTTATAATAAAGTTTATGCTACGACAACAAGTTTTGAGGTTATATCGAAGGATTTTGAGGACAATAAAAGAAGTTCCGGATAAAACCCATCAAAAAGAATTGTTGGATTGGGCTAGAAGTGATTTTAAGAATAATTCTCATCATACTGATGAAGTAACAATAAAAATGATGATTACTTACGGCGAAAGATCATTGAAAGAGTTAGAGTCAAGTCTTGCTTTAGCCAAATAGGTTAAAGAAAATAAAAAAATCTTATTTTATTGCTTTTATTTAAATACAAAAACCCATAATGTGTGTAAAACAAGACTAGAAAATAGTAAAGTACCAAAAAAAGGCACTAATAAAGTGACACCTAAATAAATTTTTTCGTTTTTAATTCTATTCCCTAATAATATCTTAATTAAAGCGTTTGAAATATAATGCCCATCCATCCAAAGTGATGGGAGGACGTTAACAATCCCTAAACCCAACGAAATCACTACAATGTATTTAAAGATTTTTTCAACTGAATTTGGAAAATTTAAACTTAAATAAACATATTTCGGAATATACTCAGAAACTCGAACGGTTAAAAGTAAATCTTCGGCTAAACCTAAATAGACAATTGGTTTTTCTTCACTTTTTCTTTTTATAACTAAAACGCGACTGTGATCTTTTAACATCGGTTTAAGGCAATGCGTGTTCTCGATAATCACACAATCATTCGATGAATTACAATAATTATTTGAATGGCTAACAACAACTCGAACTGGTAGACATGTATGAGGGGGAATTTCCAATATTCCATTTGTTGCTTCTAAGTATTCAAAACATAAAGCACCCGGTTGATCATTACAACAATCAAAATCATTTGTACTAGAATGTTTAAACACAGTTTCATCATGATTCGAAATAACTTCACTGGGAGTACAAAAACCGAGATTTAAATTACGATACATGTTAATACAATTAATCCAATCTTGAAAATTGTTGATTTTACAATTATTTATTTTAAAAATTTGATTCCCTACGTTTAAACCGTTATTTTCGCCAATTAATGGGGAATTTGGAGATAAATCAGTTACAATTACACCGTTATTAACCTCATAAAATGGTGAAAAGATATACGGCAACATCAAAAAGATTAAATAAAAAAATATACTTAACGAAATATTATGCCAAACACCAGCACAATAAATCCTAAGTGATTTAATCGGGGTTAATTTTAATATATCTTCAGTGTTTAAACCAACATAAGCAATGGGTAAGATAAATATACAAGTAAATCCAACATTAATTAAATGAACATCTTCTTTAACAGCCGTTAAAGCATGCCCAAATTCATGGAAAACACTCGATATCACCAAACTTACAACATAATAAGGTAAATCTGATATTGCCAAGGTAGCTCCTGGTATTATAGGCACAATAATACTCGATTCTAAAGGATTTTCGTTTTGTACAAAAAACATTTGATATAAAGAAACTAGAAGTAACACGCAAGAAATTGGTAAAAAGATTAAAGTTACATTTAAGCCTATTGAAAACCATGTGGAGAGAAACGATGAATGAGAGCTACCCCATCTTAATAATAAACGATTAAAAGCGGTCGTTTCCCATTTAATTTGTAAAAATTTGATTTCAAATCCGGTGTTTTTCAAAAACTGGATGTAAGGGTAATGAGCACATGTCTAAAAAAGAAAATTGGTACTAAAATTGTTTATGCAAAATCATCTTGTTTTTACCTTGTAAAATTTATCGAAGAAGTATAAAAGGCCATAAATAAAAAGAATAACTAAGAAAAACGTTGGAATCATTTTGATGTTTTCCCCATTTTTGACGTAACCAACTTCATTTTATTATTGTGTCATAAATGTCGATAAATCAGTGTACTTTATTTAGAATAATTGTTCGATTCAAAAACGAATAATAATAAATATTGTAATGATTTTGTGATTTTTAATAATTTCGCTAAAAACTGAAGTATAAATAAATATAAAAGTATAAATAAATGGAATAATTCTAGATTAGCGGTCTGTCTTAAAAATCGATGATTTTTTTTTTAATCGATAGGAAATGACTCAAAAAAGGCGTTAATGATTAAAAAAAGTGCGCAAAAGTATATATAGCTTCGTAGAAAAGTAACTCTCTAAACAAAAATTTCGTACTAAAAATTGAACGCATGTGGCGCCATCTGTTGGGGATGTTTTAGATTCAGCTAAGAACCGAATCACTAGAATACAGGTTGGATTGGGTTTAATATATAAAAGCTTAAACCACAAAATAACTGTTTGGAGCCAGATAATTAACATTCGGACTGGTTGGGAATTCCTCAAATGCAATTACCTATGGCAATTACACCTGTCAAATAATGTCGCCACATTTGAATATCACGGCATCATATGACATGTGAGATTGCTTCCAACCAGTTATAACGTTAGCTGAAACAAAGCTATACTGTCAATTATAATCTAATTATTTAATCTTACCATTATTACATTATTATACTCTCAGCAAAAAATCACTTTAAAATGACGTTTTCATCTGTCATTCTGAACAAACTTCACTTTTTAAAAGTTGAAGTTAGCGACAAAGTTAAAAATATAACACGAATTGGAATCTATACTTTTTAAATTAAAAGAATGATACTGGTAATAATTGTTATTGCTATCTCTCATCATTTCCACTATTAATAATAAAATTGTTAGTTTAATTAAATTATTTTAGTATAGACGCTAATGCCATCTCTCTTCAAAATATATGAGCGCCATCTATCAATAATTTATTAAGTCATATAATAATAATATTAAATATTAATAAAAAATGTGAAATAATGCAATCTATTCCAACTTTTTTTGTAAAACAAATATAAATTAAATAGTTCAAAAAATGTATTTGTTTCAAATATCGGAAATATGTTTTTTTAATTTTTAGTTATAATTTACAGGAAACTGTAAAATTAATTTCTTTGACACTAAAAAAAAGTTTATTTTTAGCTTTATTCTAAAACAATAAGAAATAGACCTGTCAAACCTTATATTTATATAATCAGAAAAAAATAACGAATTTAATAAGCGAATAATCAGTGGTTGTTTCCATTTAAAAAAACGAAAATTGTCATGATATCTCAAAATCTAAAACCGAAAATTTTTTTTTGGCTACGTCATGAAATTCTTTGTAAAAAAGTGTCCATATATTGTCTTAGTTATAATACTCCACCTGGAATAATAACGAAGATAATTGCATTTGTTGGTTTTACGATATTTTCAATTTTGGCCTCTAGCAAAAAAACAAAAGACGATACCGCTTTGAGGTTTTCGGCATTAGCAGTTTCTCGAAAAACGAGATCATGACATCTAAGCTACTTTTTTTCTAACTCTTATAGTTTCCGAATTAGCCTATTCGGACATCGAATTTGAACCACCCTGTACACTTGGTTCACTTCAGGTCGTTTGCGCCTTGCGGGCGAGACACTAAAACCAATAATATACACTATCTTAATATTGATATTGTTACACAACCTAATACTTATTAATAACAAACCGATTTCAAAATAATTTAAATCTATTGTAATGACACTAATGACAGTTACAAAAAAGAATATTTAAAGAATAAGTGACATCTATGATTGAGAAGTGAAACTAAATGTTTTAAGGGAATTTTAGCCATGCGCATTTTATATTTAAAATTGTATGGCGGGAATCGTGTACCCAACACAGAGACGTAGAGTACCGAAAATAAATCCCACTCGTTGTCGGAAAGTGTTCGCGTAAAGTGTTCTCACAATAGAGCGAGTTCCGCGCGTTGGGCGCTCGTTTCGAGTCGTTTTCTTAATTTGGAGTCGTGTGCACCGGCTACGTCTTTTGCTTATTGTTAGTCAAAGAAAGAAATCTAAATAAGAGTAACGCTAAAATAGCAGAGAAAAAAAAATCAAAATTCGAATGAAAATTTTGACAATCGGACGTCGTTTTTCATGGATAATGTCGGCGCACCGCGGGGATTACATGTAAAAAAGGAATCAGCAGAAGAAGATTTTAAGGTAAGACAATTTTTTTTTTCGAAAATTTGTATCGAGATGTGGCGCGAGAAGCGCGTGATAATGTTATGCGGAGTTTTCAGGTCGCGAATCGGATTTTGGGCGGTTAAAAATAACTTACTGTTTGGTAATTCGGCCCGTGTCGGGTCTTTTTTTAAAATTTTCTGCCACTCGAAACTCAAATGTAATCCAATCTTTAACCTTAATCTTTAATGACATTTTAAACGTCACTTTTTGCTTGAAATGTCATTTTGACGTTTATTTTTTTTTAGCGCCAAATTTAATTTGATGATTTTTTTTAGGAATTTTCCGGGTTGTTATCGTGAAATTGATTAAAAATAAAGATTTTTAATATCGAACAGGATAATGACTCAAAATTTCGAATCTGACTCAATATTTGGAGGTTTAAAATACGTTTTGATATCGACAGGAAGTTGTGTCAATAGGAAACGGATAAAATTGTTTTTAATTAATCCTTTTTTTTTTTGAATCACGATTGTTGTAAATAATAAAATATTCAGGATACCATGTTATAGCTATATCGGAGTGTTGGAGAGTTGCTCAGGGTGTGTATATTCGATATGGCACGTTGGTTTAAAGTTACAAATTTGTAAACGAAACCGATCGTAATTCGCCGATGCATTCGAAACGGTAAAACGCTCGGTTTTACGGCCGAAGTGCGTAGATTCGTATTCGAGATTTTGCGAATAACGCATCACCGCTAATGGTCCTCCCAACCCCCCAAACCCCCGATTTTTTCGTTTTCGAATAATGCCGATAATTGGATTCGAAATTTTCAATCTGGGGGTGAGGGCAAAACATATTAATTGAAACGGGGTTACGGTTAAATTTCTAGGAATTTCAAATATTACTGTTTATTCGAACCCTAGCAAATTGCATTTCATTCCTAGAATATTTAATCAATTAATTAATACATAAATAAAATAAAATCGTATATAACCTCAATTTAAACGTCAAATTATTAGTGATTTAATTATTTTAATGTTTGCCAAACTTTTTCGATAAATGTCAAAATTATTTTTTAGGTTAATTTTAGTCGTGATTTGAAATGCGCAAAAAAATTAATTTAAATTAAAAAAAAATAGTAAGCGAGGTTCGGATGGTATCTTCGGTTGGTTCGGTGTTGGGTGACCGCGTATTTACAGCGTCTGGGGCCCTGATGGATATCAGTTCCAAGCCATCTGCAATTCGACGCCGCGGTGTTCGGTTGCGGTATCGCGTTTCTAAACCGTGTTAGGGCTCGTGCTGGCTTACATGCCGCATTACTCTCCATATTTTTAGACTTTATCCGTGGACCCGAAGGGTCACGACACCGACAACCCTTTTTCTATTGTTTTATTTTTCTTACTTTTTTACCGCCTTTTTTCAATTAAAAAAAAAGTGATTTCAAAAGAATGTTTTGAGGTGCATTTTACTGATAGTATACGATGCGTTCGAAACGTGTGTCAGTGGCGTAGGGATGTAAATAGGGTTGTGGGGGTTTCGTCGCGCCGTATGAAAGCAGATAGAAAGCCGACGAGATGAGAGTAAACCGAACCGGGGAGATAAAGTTTCAAACGTTCTCTAATTATACGTTACAGCGTGTTTTACTGGTCGTATTCCCTTACAGGGCAGCACCCATTAGGTTATCATCATCATCATCGATGCAAACTTTTTCCAAAACTTTTTTTTAACACAAATTTAAGTTAAATTTTCGGCGTCATTAATGACATTTCGATATAGTACCAACCCTAAATAAATTAAAAAAAAAAGAAAACTAACCATCAAGTAATTCCAAATTTAAGTCAATGATGTCTCTATTCTGTGCAGAATTATCGCTCCTTCTTCTCCTTGGTCGTCCTAGACTTCGTTTATCTAGCGGCGATTTATCCCTGGTCCTTTCATCAGTCTATCTTGTTCCATTCTCTCCTTTTTTCCGTTTATGTGTCCAATTGTTGATATTTTCCACTCCACATAACCTTTTTATGTCTTCAGAATTATCTTCATTACTGTTGTTTCTAATAAATAAATGGTTAAAACCAAATTAGAAAATTGAGGTTATGTCCACTTTAACCCATAAGACGTAATTAATTTGACATTTCAATACCAACCCTAAATAAATTAAAAAAAAAAACATAACCATCAAATAATTCCAAATTTAAGTCAATGATGTCTCTATTCTGTGCAGAATTGTCGCTCCTTCTTCTCCTTGGTCGTCCTAGACTTCGTTTACCTAACAGCGATTAATCCCTGGTCCTTTCATTAGTCTATCTTGTTCCATTCTTTCTTATATGTGCATTCTCTCCTTTTTTCCGTTTATGTGTCCAATTGTTGATATTTTCCACTCCACATAACCTTTTTATGTCTTCAGAATTATCTTCATTACTGCTGTTTCTAATAAATAAATGGTTAAAACCAAATTAGAGAATTGAGGTTATGTTCACTTTAATCCATATAAGAAATAATTAATTTGACATTTCAATACCAACCCTAAATAAATAAAAAAAAACGTAACCATCAAATAATTCCAAATTTAAGTCAATGATGTCTCTATTCTGTGCAGAAATTGTTGCTCCTTCTTCTCCTTGGTCGTCCTAGACTTCGTTTATATACCTAGCGGCGATTTATCCCTGACCCTTTTCAATAGTCTATCTTATCCCATTCCTTCTTATGTCTGCATTCTCTCCTTTTTTCCGTTTTTGTATCCAATTGTTGATATTTTCCACTCCACATAACCTTTTTATGTCTTCAGAATTATCTTCATTACTGCTGTTTCTAATAAATAAATGGTTAAAACCAAATTAGAGAATTAAGGTTATGTCCACTTTAATCCATAAGACGTAATTAATTTGACATTTCAATACCAACCCTAAATAAATTAAAAAAAAGAAAACATAACCATCAAATAATTCCAAATTTAAGTCAATGATGTCTCTATTCTGTGCAGAAATTATCGCTCCTTGTTCGTCCTAGACTTCGTTTACCTAACAGCGATTTATCCCTGACCCTTTTCAATAGTCTATCTTATCCCATTCTTTCTTATGTGTGCATTCTCTCCTTTTTTTCGTTTATGTGTCCAATTGTTGATATTTTCCACTCCACATAACCTTTTTATGTCTTCAAAATTATCTTGATTTCTGCTGTTTCCAATAAATAAATGGTTAAAACCAAATTAGAGAATTGAGGTTATGTTCGCTTCAATCCATAAGACGTGGAGAATTAAACGAGAATTAAATTTGATCAGTTGGTGAATACGCGATTTTTAAATTTAAATAACTAAAAATAATATAGCAGTTAAAATATTTTTGAAAGTAAATTTGAATTCGATAAATCTGAATTAACTTTTCGATGCCACAAATGACACTTTTCGTATGACATTTTGAATTAATTTGACATTTCAATACCAACCCTAAATAAATAAAAAAAGAAAGAAAACATAACCATGAAATAATTCTAAATTTAAGTCAATGATGTCGCTATTCTGTGCAGAAATCTTCTTATCCTTGGTCGTCCTAGACTCCGTTTACCTAGCGGCGATTTATCCCTGGCCCTTTTCATTAGTCTATCTTGTTCCATTTGGATATTTGTAAACAAATGGATAACTTCATGATGTATTCTTTATTAAGATAACCTTTAAAGTGAGTCCCAACTTGACGCATTTACCTCAAAAAGTTCGACTTTTAATTCTGACATATTGTGTCCAAACTCGACACATTTAACTTTAATATTAACGGAAATACAATCACTTCCGGTTTGAAACGTCAACGTCAATTTTGATATATTTGTCATCTTCATTAAAAAACCTTTAAAACGAGTCCAAAGATGATGCACTTATCTCAAAAAACAAAAACGTCAGAATAAAAAACGTTAAACCCGAAGTTAGCAATGAAGATAGCAATTTAATTTTTAAATATTAATACCAACCTTAATTTTTTATTTTTTTAATGTATTTGTGAGAAATATTTAGACATTTTATAAAAATTAAGAATATGTCAAAATGATATTGACATTTCACACCGGAAGTTGCTTATATCTCGAGTAATATTGGAATTAAACGTATCATGTTTGGACTCATTTTAAAAGATTTTTCACGACGATTACAAATATGTCAAAATTGACGTTGACATTCTTAACCGGAAGTTGACCATAACTTCATTAATATTGAAGATAAATATGTCGTGTTTGTACTCATTTTAAAGGATTTTTAATGAAGATTACAAATATGTCAAAATTGAGGTTGACATTTTAAACCTGAAGTTAGTTATCATATAATAGACAAATGGACAACTTCATGGTGTTCTTTCATGATGTATTCTTTATTAAAATAACCTTTAAAGTGAGTCCAAACTTGACACATTTACCTCAAAAAGACAAAAAGTTCGACTTTTAATTTTGACATATTTGGCAACTTCATAAAAAATCCTTTAAAATGAGTCCAAACTCGACATATTTAACTTTAATATTAACGGAAATACAATCACTTCCGGTTTGAAGCGTCAACGTCAATTTTGACATATTTGTCATCTTCATTAAAAAACCTTTAAAACGAATCCAAAGATGACACACTTATCTCAGAAAACAAAAAAGTTTGAATAAAAAACATTATATTATATTTTAATTTTTAAGGCATTTTATAAAAATTAACAATAGGTCAAAATGACATTGACATTTGAAACCGGAAGTTGCTTATATCTCGAGTAATATTGGAATTAAACGTATCATGTTTGGACTCATTTTAAAGGATTTTTCACGACGATTACAAATATGTCAAAATCGACGTTGACATTCTTAACCGGAAGTTGACCATAACTTCATTAATATTGAAGATAAATATGTCGTGTTTGTACTCATTTTAAAGGATTTTTAATGAAGATTACAAATATGTCAAAATTGAGGTTGACATTTTAAACCTGAAGTTAGTTATCATGTAATAGCAGTTTTATAACTGGATTTAACCTAGTGTTAATCACTTTTCCCCACTTTCTTTTTATTTTTAATGTGTTTTTGGATCATTTCACATTGATTAAAAAAAATCGTCGATTTTTAAGCCACATGATGATTCTTGAATGTTACTCAAGTTTTTTAATATTTCTTTTGTTAAAAAGGAGCGTTTTTATTATATTAGGAAATCACACATGCATGGATCGGAAAAGTCTGCACCCTTCTGAAATCACTGGCGCCAGTGATGAGTCTAAAAACATATAACCATGACAACATAGATGAGTATCCACAAAAACATAAAATTTTTTAATGTCAAATTTAGGTTATGTTTCATTGCATTCAAATTAAATCCCAATCACGTTAACACATTCAAAGATAACGTTTAATTATCCACATTTAACCTAGAATATATCTATTTTCGTTTCGGTTGAGGTCCTAATTTGTGTATATAGTTATAAAAACTTGTCTAAACTCACCTTAATTGTTAAAACGTGATAGGGCTCTGTACTTGTGATAGCTGTCACCAGTGTTTTGTGATAAAAATGAACAGACACCAAACAATTTTCAATAGTTTGAGCCTGTCTATTCTGAGAAGTCTTACATTTTTAGAGAGGTGAAAACGATAATCTCGTTTTTCTCAATATTTATTATTCATTTGTCGTTTAGTTAAGTTGCATAACGCGGTCCAAATGACACTTTTCGTATGACATTTTGAATTAATTTGACATTTCAATACCAACCCTAAATAAATAAAAAAAATATAACCTCAAAATTATTTTTGGTTAGAAGTGTCAAATAATTTTTTTTTACTTTATTTAATACTAATTTATATATTTTTTATTAATTTGTTTATTTTTTTAATATACTGACGAACACGATCGCGACTACAGTATCCGTTTACACCGCGCGCCGAGACAAGCGCGCGCGATGCGGGGTTTATTAATAACTTCTTTAATTAAAATACGCCCGAACGCGCTGGATGGGGTTAGTTTCGTCGTAAATTTTCCTCATCCGAAAGGAACGAAGGAAATACAGGGAAGGAAGACGTACGGTATTCAATTACCGTTTAACTTATCTTTCCACAATTGGTCACAAAATTCTTATTTTTATTTCTTTTCAGCAATATGCTGAAACTGCAATGAACGAATTATTGGGTTGGTACGGATACGGTGGTGCTACCAAAGAAGATATGATGGTCAAAACAACCGTTAATAGCCATTCGAATTCGAATAGTAATAATAGTTCGGGTCCTTCTTCACCCTCACAAAGCGCAGGTGAGTTATAATAACTTGGTCGATTAAAAAATCCTATTATTAAAACGTGATTGATAGACTCACATGTTGTAATGACTAATTAAACCTGGTTTGATTTAATTATAAACGGATTCTAAGCGTTATTCAATGCCAATGATACCTGCACATACAAAGCTCAGCTGACTTGTAACTTGTGATCTAAAAAAAAAATTCTTTTTAATTAAACATAAAACGCGATGCATATTTAAAAATAAACGAAGAATTTTCAACATTGATTTTGGAAACGAACCGGAAATAATTAGACTAATTGTCATTAGATACGCTAAATTCGAATTGGAAAAGTAACGACTGCTGGGAGGTTCATTATCGGCCGTTTCCAACTATGAAAAACCATCCGGAAATGCTGATGAATCTGATGAATCTGATGATGATGGTAATTAATTGAACTCGACTTCGAATTGGTGCAATTATCTAAATGGAACCTAAATATCAATCATTTATTCTAATTTACGAAGATAATTAAGGGTTAACCAATAAGTTTTCGACGTTATTTATAAAAGAGGGTGCGAAAACGGAAGGTTATTGGTCGGGGGTTAATTGGATTTCCTCGAATTGTGACTTTGGCCAATCCGCCCCTTTTTACCTTTAAAGGAAAACGAGGTTTCAGACCAATAACGGGGGTTAATTTGGAATATTACAACAAAAAAATTTGGGGAAATCGAATTGGGCATGGAACGTGTTGATACCAAAACTAATACAAAATTTTTATTCAAAAATTATATTTCTTTGGCAATAGGGAGAGTCATCGTAGACACGGTGTCGCAATTAATGTCGAGAAAACCAAAAAAATGCACATCAAACTCAAAAGAATAATGAAGAAAAAAAGAAAATCGGATGAACAACTGAAGAAACAAACAGTACGAAATGAATTGCAACCTAAGATAAAGGAAAATGTCAACGAAAAATGGTGTGGTATCAAAACAGACGTCCAGAAGAAGGCAAGAATGGATAACTGAGAAAGCCACTCTATAATAGATCAGATACACAGGATTACAAATATTATTCAAAAGTCTTTAGAGGGAAAGGAAGTCTGCTCTGTAATATTCCTGGATGATGAGTTTTGATAAAGTCTGGCACGAAGGATTACTTCATAAATTGAATAAAATCTTGCCACAACAACACTCTCAATTGATAAAATCATATCTTACAAGAAGATATTTTAGAATAATGCAGGAGAAGGCGTATTCTAACTTTAAAAAGATCTAGGTTGGAGTGCCCATAAGGTAGTGATATTCCTGATCTTAAACAGAACACCATTGCAATCATGAAGAGGTTGCTGAAAAATTACAATCCTCTATGAACAAAATAAATACTTGTAATATATAAGTAATAAATTAAAACAGCATATACCCATCAGAATAAATGATCCCACATACTAACTCGGCGAAATACCTGGACATGACCTTAGACGCAAGGCTATGCTGAAAAGCCCACTAAGTATTAAAGCTAATATGGCCACTGTAACTGCACACAAGGGCATAAAAAGAGAACAAAAATACAATTGGTCTTTACAACTGATAATAACATAACGGTAAGAATACAAGACAGAATACAGGCTGCACACAGATGTTACTATACGCACATGAGAATTTTCAAATAAAAACACATATCTAGAGAGGTCAACCTGAGGATGCCTAAGACCTTGATCCTGGAATCTGACGGAAGCGAACAAAAGCGCTCTTCGGGTGTTTGAGAGAAAAATACTCCGTAGGATATTTGGACCAGTGATAGAAGCAGATGGAATACGGAGAAGAATGAATTTTGAACTCTGAGATTTGATGGGAGGGAAAGACGTCATAGGGTTTGTAAGGTCACACAGACTTGGATGGGCTGGACACATCTAAGTGCTAGTAGAAGTAATATTCGAAACAAAGCACTGAGAAACAATGTGATCTCCACAATGATCTTGAAATAGAGACAGCTAATCAAATAATTCCCAAAATCGCATGACGCCATGAACAATGACTTCTAGTTCTAGCTAGTCTAGTAAATTTGTCTAGTAGTTTGTTGTTGATTTTGTACTTTTTTGTACTAAACCTCTAAATAAAAAACTTCTATTATATGATAATTAACTTCATTAACTTCAATTTTGACATATTTGTAATCATCATTAAAAATCCTTTAAAATGAGTACAAACACGATATATTCATCTTCAATATTAATGAAGTTATGGTCAACTTCCGGTTAAGAATGTCAACGTCAATTTTGACATATTTGTAATCGTCGTGAAAAATCCTTTAAAATGAGTCCAAACATGATACGTTTAATTCCAATATTACTCGAGATATAAGAACTTCCGGTTTGAAATGTCAATTTGTCAGAATGTCAGAATTTGACATATTCTTAATTTTTATAAAATGTCTTAATATTTCTCACAAAAACAAAAATATAATAAAAAAAATAAAAAATTAAGGTTGGTATTAATATTTAAAAATTAAATTGCTATCTTCATTGTTGCTAACTTCGGGTTTAATGCTTTTTATTCTAACTTTTTTGTTTTTTGAGATAATTGCATCATGTTTGGACTAATTTTAAAAGTTTTTTAATGAAGATGACAAATATGTCAAAATTGACGTTGACGTTTCAAACCGGAAGTGATTGTATTTCCATTAATATCAAAGTTAAATATGTCGAGTTTGGACTCATTTTAAAGGATTTTTTTGTATTTATTATTATTTTGAGCTTTTTTAATAGATGTCATTCGAAGTTAAATGATCCCATACGAGATGTCGCCCCTAATTAATAATTTACACCAAATTTTTTAGTTTATATCTACTTGTTAATCTAATTATTTTCTTTATTTTAGAGGGATGCGGTTGGTGTAGTAAAATAGTGGAAGAAAAAACGGGAATTTCCGTGGGGGCATTATCATTTTGTTCGGAACTTTGTTTCTCGCAATCACGAAGAGCCAATTTTAAGAAGAACAAAACTTGCGATTGGTGTCGTCACGTTCGCCACACAGTTTCTTACGTGGATTTTCAAGTAAACAAAAATTAATTCGCAAAGATTACTTATTAATTACTTTGTTTTTAGGATGGTGCATCTCAATTACAATTTTGTTCGGATAAGTGCCTAAATCAATACAAAATGCACATATTCTGCCGTGAAACGCGCGCCCATTTAGAAATGCACCCTCATCTACCAAACGTTGATAACGGAAGTGGTTTAATCACGCCCGATTTGTGGTTAAAAAATTGTAAATCCCCCGATAGGGTCTCGATAAGTCCACCTGCGACCTCGCCGAAATCAACGTCGGTGTTTAATCCGAGGGAATTTTTACCGCAAACTTCAAAGTTACCTTTAATAACGGTTGCGCACCCTTCGAAATTATTAGCACCATCTACTTTAGAAGAAAATAATAAAAGAAAACGGACTCCTGTGCAACGAAAAAGAAAACGACCAAATAACGTTTTAGATTTTCCAAAAACAACGTCGATCGATTTACCGCAAGATTTGAGAATACGACAATCGCCACCTTTATCGTACGAAAATCAAAATGATTTAAGTTTTCAAAACGATATTCGTGTTCCACCTCAATTTAATAATCCTAATATTAACTCTAATAATTGTATTAATCAAAATCCACCTTTACCAAATACTACACAAAAACAAACTAATCAAAATATCGTACCACCTGTAACAATTCTAGTCCCTTATCCAATAATAATTCCAGTTCCGTTACCAATCCCCGTACCATTACCTATTCAATCATTTCTCGATGCCGAAAAAACTAGGAATAAAACTAACACTGATTTAAAAGACATTTCTAGTCATAACGACGATAATAAAGCGAATAATTTAAGTAATAATGATGATAAAACGGACGAAAACGATGTTGTTGATGTTGTGAATGGAACTGAAGATGTAATTAATAGTGATAATGTGGAAAATGAGTCGAATTCGACTCCTTTACCTCTTGATAATTCAAATCTAGTTAAAGATGATGTAAAAGATGATTTAAGTAATGGAATTTCAAGACCTCTAAGGAAAAGGAAACGAATTTTGGACGGAGGTAATAAAATTATATTAAAAAATTCGAAAAAATCCGTCCCGACGTAGATCTTTCTTTTTTAATTATAGATTATATCAGTATTTAATAAAAAATATCTTAAAATATCTTCAATTTTATTTAATAATCAAATTTATTCCAAATATCTTAGAAAGGAAAAGTTGGGTCTGATTATAAGTCGCAATCCCACCGCGAGAGGGCTGAAATAATTTGATTAAACTAATAATTTTGTTATTAATAGTGGGAATGATGAGAGACAGCAATAATAATTATTACCAGTATCATTTTTTTAATTTAAAAAGTATAGATTCCAATTCGTGTTATACTTTTAAATTTGCCGTTAAGAATTTTAAAAGTTGATTGTTCAGAATGACACATGGAAACGTCACTCATAGGAGATAGCGCCATCTATCTCCTAAGCGTCTAAGTGACATTTTTGTCGTTTCATTAAAAAATAATTTTATTCAACTCATTTTGCATTAGAAATAAAACTAAAACTAGAAATTTTCGGGTTATAACCTAAAAATTTCTAGTTTTAGTTTTATTTCTTATTACATCGACAAAAAAGTCTGAAAATTTTGTGATTAAAATAATTTTGTGTTTAAAAGTTTTCAACCTTGCCGTTACCATGGTGATTTGTCAATAAGCACCGACATCTTTAAATACAAATCATTTGTGACAGCATTAAATAACGCAAAAACATAATTTTAAAGGCAGAGTAAGTACATTTAACTTTTTTAATGATTTTGTTGTTATTGCGTTGTAAAAATTACGTTGTCATTTCTCTCAACTTTTATTTAACACATACAGCGTTAGAAATAAAATTAAAAATTTTGAGGATATGCCGTGCGTCAATGAATTAAATCTAAATCGACCTGTACTTTGTAACAAAAAGTCCGGCACCAAGAACTGAAAGTTCTTAAAGTTGTAGCGTCTGGGATGGCCGGGGGCGGCCGATGTCTTTGAAAACGGACTCAAAAATCATGTTGAAGATTCCTAACCTCACTTTCAAATGACACTGTATTTTGACGTTTTAATAAAAAAAATGTAACAACTCATTTTGCGATAGAAATAAAACTAAAACTAGAAATTTTGAGGTTATGCCGTGCGTCAAAGACTTAAATCTAAATCGAGGAGCACTTTGTAACAAAAATTGAACTCGGCCGACTTCGAAGACGTCGGCCGCCCTCAAGAACTGAAGGTTCTTAAGAGGGAATCAGAAATAAGTTTTGTTGTATATGTGCAAGAGACAAAAATAAAGAGCACATTTGTTACAAAAACTATAGTGGAAGTTCTACGGGAATGGAAGCTGATGGTTTAGTAGAGGGCTTCCGTAAGAGCTAAGAATTGTATGGGGTGCGATTTGCAACCCTTATTGCTGATGGAGATAGCAGTACATACAAACGTATATTGAATGCTAGACCTTATAAAAACCTGACGGTACAAAAGATAGAATGTTCCAATCATCTTCTGCGAAATTTTTGTAACAAACTAACTGCATTATCGAAAGATGCAAGATTTCCTATAAAGTATAGAAAATTTGTTACAAAAAACATTTTACGATTCCGAAATCGATTAACGGTGCAGTCGAGTTCAGAAAGCAAGAAAGAAATGAAAGTGCGGTGTATTTATTAAAGAAAGATATCGATAATTCGCTAAATCATATATTTGGTAATCATGCGATGTGTGATACGTATTTCTGTAAACCAAAAAATGAATATGACTACATTTCAGAAATCAAAACGCAGTGTCCTGAATTATATTGTCGCCTGAATGAAATTATATCCTCAATTTCAAACCATAGCAGGAGCTTACTAGAAAAAGTCAACAGCAACATAGTTGAACAATTTCATGCAATAATTGCAAAATTTGTTGGAGGCAAACGAATAAATTTTCACAAAAACGGTCGTATCAAACTCGTTGTCAAGGCGCAGTGATATCATTTAATTCAAACCGAATTCATTCGCTTGTTAGTAAAACACATACATTTGCGCATAAAAACTTAAATGTAGAAAACCTGGAAAAAAGAAGAAGAAAATCAAGAGAAAACGCAAAGAAACTAAAACTTACGGGTAAAAAAAAGACAAAGTTGCAGAAATCGCAAATTGATGATGAAGATTACGGAGATAACAGCTTGAAACCTGACCTATATACCGACATTTTAGAGCAAGAAATAAACAAGTTCCTAAAAAATATGGAAAGAACTTCAACTCAACGGGAATACTTGGAAAGGAATTCTACTTTACAAGCAGAAAGTGGTTACTGGCTCGAAGAAAGAAGGAAATTATTAACTGCATCAAATTTTTACCCTGTATGTATTAGAAAAGATACGACATTATGCGCTAATTTGGTAAAACGTATTTTATATTATTGTGGTACGGCAATTAAATCCAAAGCAGTGCAACATGGAAGAAATAATGAGGGTATAGCATTGAGGCAACTAGAAGTACAAGAAAATGTCAAAATTAAGAAATGTGGTTTGTTTGTAGATTCACAGTACTGCTTTTTAGGAGCCACACCTGACGGTTTAGTCGGAGATGATCTAGTTGTGGAAGTGAAGTGTCCTTTCTCTGCATACAAAACGTGCCCCGAAGAAGCAATCAAACAGAAAAAAATTAACTTTTGGACTTTCAATGCAACATCGAATACCTTTGATATCAACAAAAAGGATAAATGGTTTTACCAAATTCAAGGTCAATTACAAATTACAGGGAGAAAAGGATGTTTATTTGCAATTTGGACAGGACACAACATTCCCATGAAAGTAGCATACATTCGTAGAGATAAACAGTTTTGGAGAACAAATATGGAAATTAAATTACTAAGATTTTATAAAGAATGTATGTTACCAGAATTAGTTGATCCACGGCATACTCGTCACCTACCAATTCGCGAACCAAATTTTATAAAAGCAGCGCAGATAAATCGAAAACGACCACGCAATCAGTAACAGTATAAAAGAACTACAATGATATCGAAAATTACTTCTTTCAATGAAATCTATACCGGGATAGTACAAATAGGCCCGGAACAGTTTCATACAAAATACTTCCTTTTCTTTGAATGTTATACCCAGTAATTTTTTAATATTTTTGTTGCAATTTCTGAAAGGAGTTTTTATGTTGTATTCAAAAATGAAAAAAATTATTGGGATCCTCTCTAAAAAAATGACATTTTCGGCCAAGAACGGTAGCGAAAAAAAAAATTTGAATGTTGTAATAAATTCGTCATTTACTATACATATATTATTAAAAAAAATCTCAAGTAACAACGATATTTGACCATTCCGGGAGTTTGTACCAACCATATAGAAAAGATAATTTCTCACTTTTTATATTTAGATATCATGATAATAAAACTAATAAAACTTCTTTTTTTTATTTTACTCTACATTAAACGTTTGTTTACCTCTTACAGTCACAAACCACAAGGTTTTAAACCCGTTGCGCGGCGTTCTCTGTAAGAACAATCAGACACCGGTTAGCCGTTTTTTTTATTACAGTCGTCTTCTACGAATAACTACTGATATCTTATTGGTCAACAATATCCTTTTATCTCTGTTTCATGCTTTTCTTAAAACCACACCCTATTTTAACCCGGCCTCCCAATTCTAATTTCCCACGCGTGGAAGCAGGACTCTTAATGTTGTAGCGTCTGGGATGGCCGATGTCCAAGGTCTATAGAACATAAGGTTACCCAATACCGATTCTCCTCCTCTGAGAGGCAAGGTGGGTCAGTGACGTAGCTGGTTCTATGAACAACACAACACGATGCGAGGTTTAAATATTTTATATAGACTGTACCACAGTATAGGCACGTGTATAGGCTATCTTTTATTCTGACTGTATCGAACCAGTGACGTCAATTTGCGGGGTAATAATCGATACTACAGAGGCATAGGGAATGAGGTAACCTTATGTTCTATAAACCTTGGCCGATGTATTCGAAAATGACCGTGTTGGTACTCGAAAATAATATTGAAAATTCCTAACCTCACTTTAATAACACAACCCAACCTCACTTTCAAATGACATTGTATTTTGACGTTTTAATGAATAAACGGATATATTCAACTCATTTTGCGGTAGAAATAAAACTAAAACTAGGAATTTTGAGGTTATTCCGTGCGTCAAAGAATGAAATCTAAATCGAGGAGTACTTTTTAACAAAAAGTGAACTCCAGCACCAAGAACTGAAACTTCTTAATGTTGTAGCACCTGGGATGGCCGAGGGCGGCCGATGTCTTCGAAAACGGCCGTGTTGGTACTCGAAAATAATATTGAAAATTCCTAACCTCGCATTAATAACACAACCTAACCTCACTTTCAAATGACATTGTATTTTGACGTTTTCATGAAAAAACGGATGTATTCAACTCATTTCGCGGTAGAAATAAAACTAAAACTAGGAATTTTGAGGTTATGCCGTACGTCAAAGAATGAAATCTAAATTGAGGAGTACTTTTTAACAAAAAGTGAACTCCAGCACCAAAAACCTCAAAATTTCTAGTTTTAGTTTTATTTCTTATTACATCGACAAAAAAGTCTGAAAATTTTGTGATTAAAATAATTTTGTGTTTAAAAGTTTTCAACCCTGCCGTTACCATGGTGATTTGTCAATAACCACCGACATCTTTAAATAAAAACCACTTGTGACAGCATTAAATAGCGCAAAAACATAATTTTAAAGGCAGAGTAAGTACATTTAACTTTTTTAATGATTTTGTTGTTATTGCATTGTAAAAATTATGTTGTCATTTCTCTCAACTTTTATTTAACACATACAGCGTTAGAAATAAAACTAAACATTTTGAGGTTATGCCGTGCGTCAAAGAATTAAATCTAAATCGACCTGTATTTTGTAACAAAAATTCTGACACCAAGAACTGAAAGTTGTAGCGTCTGGGATGGCCGGGGCCGGCCGATGTCTTCGAAAACGGCCGTGTTGGTACTAAAAAATCATGTTGAAGATTCCTAACCTCACTTTCAAATGACACTGTATTTTGACGTTTTAATAAAAAAAAATGTAAACTCATTTTGCGTTAGAAATAAAAATAAAACTAGAAATTTTGAGGTTATGTCGTGCGTCAAAGACAAATCTAAATCGAGGAGCACTTTGTAACAAAAATTGAACTCGGCCGACTTCGAAGACGTCGGCCGCCCTCAAGAACTGAAGGTTCTTAATGTTGTAGCGTCTGGGATGGCCGATGTCTTCGAAAATGACCGTGTTGGTACTCGAAAATGATATTGAAAATTCCTAACCTCACTTTAATAACACAACCTAACCTCACTTTCAAATGACATTGTATTTTGACGTTTTAATGAAAAACCGGATGTATTCAACTCATTTTGCGGTAGAAATAAAACTAAAACTAGGAATTTTGAGGTTATGCCGTACGTCAAAGAATGAAATCTAAATCGAGGAGTACTTTTTAACAAAAAGTGAACTCCAGCACCAAAAATTAAAAGTTCTTAATGTTGTAGCACCTGGGATGGCCGAGGGCGGCCGATGTCTTCGAAAACGGCCGTGTTGGTACTCGAAAATAATATTGAAAATTCCTAACCTCAGTTTAATAACACAACCTAACCTCATTTTCAAATGACATTGTATTTTGACGTTTTAATAAAAAAAAATGAAATAAAACTAAAACTTACCTTAAAAAATATCTTAAACTTTATTTAATAACCAAATTTATCATTTAAACTCGTTCTTCCATCACCGGTTTGATTTTCTGGGGGAACCCACATATCATAGTCTTCCTCAAAATCATCCTCTTTCATCTCTGATGTATCATCATCATCATCGTCGTCCTTTTCATTTTCGTTGACTAAATGGGTTATTTCACGAGATAACTCTAAAAACTTTGAGGCTAATTTTGAAATGTCCGCGCCGTTTTCTGCCAATTTAATACCGGTTATTATAAAATCAACGTCATTCGCGAATTTATTTCCCGTTAATGATGATGAAATCGATAAGTATTCTTCGAAGATTTTTATTACGTCGTTTTTCATATCTTCTAAGTATTCGGGATGTAATTTTTTTAAGTTTTGCCAAATTAATGAAACGTATCTTTCGTGATTATGCGGCATTAACGGGTAAGTTTTCGAAAAATTTATTTCGATTTTGTTCCAATCTTTAATAAATGAGTTGCTTTTTGATGATTTTTTTTGATCTTTTTCGGTTTTAGGATTATTTTCGGGTTCTTTTACAATTTCTTTTTCGAGTTCTTTATTTGTGGTTTCTTCAATTTTATTTTCACTTTCAATCTCATTTTCTTCGTGGAAATCAAATTTTTCCTCATTTCTTTGAGGCAAATTCACTTTAACTTTAAGTCTTTTTCCAAAAATAGGTAATTTATCTTTCTTTTTACTTTCTTTTACCACCAATTCAGGTAAATTCGTTGGTTTTGCAATCCCCATTAATTTTTTAACCCGTTCCATTTCATTTTTAATTTGTTGGAGCTCAATTTTCAACTTATTCTTTTTCTCCTTATCGATACCTTTCGAACGTTTTAATTTTTTCATAAACGTCTCCAAAGAATCACCTTCCTCGTGGTCTTTACGATTCTTTTCTTCGTTTTCAGCTTCGAGGAGTTGAGTTTCTATCCTTTTTATGTCACCGTTTAATTTCAATTCTTTTTCGGCGAGACTTTGGTAAGTTTCTGCTTGTTGTGGGACTTTATTTTTCATCCGAATTTCCCGCTTTTTCTCAATAACCCCGGTTCTATCCAAAAACGTGTCGTCATCACTGTCATAAAAGTCATTTTCTTCCCAATTTTTCGCTTTTCTCTTTCTCGATTCGTGAGTTGCTTGCCTTAAAATTCCGTGGCGATCCAAAATCCTACATGCTTCTAAAGCACATTGAATAACAGCTTCTTTCTTCTTTCCTTTAATTAAATTAATATTAATTATTTCAAAAAAGCTGCCATCTAGCGGCGAATTTAAAATACTTTTTTAATGTGTCAAAACGGAAATTAATAATTTCATAATATAAAGTGATTAATCATAAATAATATTAATTAAACATCTCAAATGAAGTAATTTTATTAAATAAAGAATTACTAAAAACCACTTCATAATAAAAATTTAATCATTTTTTACTTTGAGGTTAACACTTAAAAAAGCTGCCATCTAGCGGCGAATTTTAAATACTTTTTTAATGTGTCAAAACGGAAATTAATAATTTAATAATATAAAGTGATTAATCGTAAATAATATTAATTAAACATCTAAGACGAAGTTATTTTATTAAATAAAGGTAAGTAATTACTAAAAACCCCTTTATAATAAAAATTTAATCATTTTTTACTTTGACAGTTCCAACTTTGGGGTTAACACCTAAAAAAAAAATGATTAAACATCATTAATTAAATAAAGGTAAGTCCTTTTAATCACTTTAAGCTTCCTTAAACTTTCTTTAATTAATTTCTTACTTTCTAAGAAATAAAAATGTTAAAAAAATTTATTTAATTTTAATTTGAGCGCCATCTATCGGTTATATTTTGAGTCTAAATTTGACGTAACCTCTATTTATTTTTTATGTAATTTGTCTAACCTTTATGTAAAACTTCAGCAAAAATAGATTTCCCTCTTTCGTCATCAATCGGAAGTTGTACTTTACATAAAAATTGTCCTGGGCCTTGTTCGTTACAGTCATACTCCAAATCCAAACCTTCCCGTTCAAAAAATCCCCTCAAAGCCTTTTTAGGATCATCCAAATACAGCTCCTCATTGTTAGTTTGCGCATAAGGGTTCTCGCTTAAATCGGTTTCTTCATCGGCATCATCCCCCATCCCCCAATCGACCCCACGTTCCTCTAATTTCCGCCGTTTCTCCTCCTCCTCCTCCAACAACATCCGTTTATCTTCCTCCTCTTTTAGCCTTCGCTTCTCAATGTCCTCTTTACGTTTTTGTTTTAATTCGGTTACAGTTAAGGGATCTTCATTTTCCGTGTCATATTCCGGTCCGTTTAATAAATAAGTTCGGGTGCTACAACCAAATTTTATCATGTGACCAACCTTTAAACAGAAATAAAATCGAGTCAGCCCCAGATATCTTAGATAGGAGAACTTGGCTATGATTATGTGTCGCAATCCCCCCGCGTGTTATACTTTTAAATTTGCCGTAAAGAATTTTAAAAGTTGAAGTTTGTTCAGAATGACACATGAAAACGTCACTCATAGGAGATAGCGCCATCTGTTGCCTATGCGTCTTTTTCAAGTGACATTTTTGTCGTTTCATTAAAAAATAATTTTATTCAACTCATTTTGCATTAGAAATAAAACTAAAACTAGAAATTTTGAGGTTATGCCGTGCGTCTAAGACGTTTTTTAGTTTTATTTCTTATTACATCGACAGAAAAGTCTGAAAATTTTGTGATTAAAATAATTTTGTGTGTAAAAGTTTTCAACCCTGCCGTTACCATGGTGATTTGTCAATAAGCACCGTCATTTTTAAATAAAAACCAAGCAAAAACATAATTGTAAAGGCAGAGTAAGTACATTTAACTTTTTTAATGATCTTGTTGTTATTGCGTTGTAAAATTTGTGTTGTCATTTCTCTCAACTTTTATTTAACACATACAGCGTTAGAAATAAAACTAAATATTTTGAGGTTATGCCGTGCGTCAATGAATTAAATCTAAATCGACCAGTACTTTGTAACAAAAATTCTGGCACCAAGAACTGAAAGTTGTAGCGTCTGGGATGGCCGGGGGCGGCCGATGTCTTCGAAAACGGCCGTGTTGGTACTCAAAAATCATGTTGAAGATTCCTAACCTCACTTTAATAACACAACCTAACCTCACTTTCAAATGACATTGTATTTTGACGTTTTAATAAAAAAAATGTATTCAACTCATTTTGCGGTAGAAATAAAACTAAAACTAGGAATTTTGAGGTTATGCCGTGCGTCAAAGAATTAAATCTAAATCGAGGAGTACTTTGTAACAAAAAGTGAATTTCGGCACCAAGAAATGAAAGTTCTTAATGTTGTAGCGTCTGGGATGGCCGGGGGCGGCCGATGTCTTCGAAAACGGCCGTGTTGGTACTGGAAAGTCATGTTAAAGATTTCTAACCTCACTTTAATAACACAACCTAACCTCACTTTCAACTGACATTGTATTTTGACGTTTTAATAAAAAAAAAATGTATTCAACTCATTTTGCTGTAGAAATAAACTTGCCTTTGACGCACGGCATAACCTCAAAATTCCTAGTTTTAGTTTTATTTCTACCGCGAAATGAGTTGAATACATCCGTTTTTTCATTAAAATGTCAAAATACAATGTCAATACAACGTCACTTATAGGAGATAGCGCCATCTATCTCTTATGCGTCTTTTTCAAGTGACATTTTTGTCGTTTCATTAAAAAATAATTTAATTCAACTCATTTTGCATTAGAAATAAAACTAAAACTAGAAATTTTGAGGTTACGCCGTGCGTCAAAGACGAAATAACCCGAAAATTTCTATAGTTCATTTTTTTTTCTATAATACCTGTCAAATTGTTGTAAAGTTGGCAAAACTAACAGGGAGTTTTGTTATATGATGTTTTGAAATAAATATGTCACACTGACGTTTATTTGACTCTGCTGACGTTTAAGCTTTCGTTATTCAAAAAGAAAACGTGCATAAAAAAATGTTGTGGGGTGTGTATTTGGCATTTATTTACCTACAAAAGGTGTTTTGTTCTATTTAATTACTATGTAGCACGTTTTTACAATAAATATGTACTTGGTTAAAATCGTATCTATCTAAAAATTTATTAGTATTTTAACCTCAATTATTTAGTTACTGAAAATGTTACTAAAAATCAGGAAAACAACATAAATTTTATAAGGGTCCTAGATAATACCAACAGAAACCCTAAAAAATTTACATTGACAAGTATTATAGAAAAAAAAGAACTATTAAAACTATAGTTTTATTTCTTATTACATCGACAGAAAAGTCTGAAAATTTTGTGATGAAAATAATTTTGTGTTTAAAACTTTGATTATATATAATATGGATTGAGCCAACAAGAGAGATAGCTTGCGCAAGGTGATCGAACCGAGATAGACATAGAAGCGTACTGCCATATAATGGGTGTACTGATAGAAGTGAGATAGATATAGAAGCGTACTGACATATAATATATCTATCTTTGTTACACTTTCACATTATCGCTTTCCATCTGCGTCTATTCACTTTGAGCAACATTTTTGTTAGTAGATATATTCAGTTAGCTCAATCCATATTATATATAATCAAAGGTTTAAAAGCTTTCAACCTTGCCATTACTATGGTGATTTATCAATAAGCACCGAAATCTTTAAATAAAAACCACCTTATCTGTGGTTGGAGCTTTTATATTATACAGGGTGTTTCAGGTTTTTGTAGCAGGACTTTAACAGTCGATAGATTTTTAATCCTATTAAAAGTTCATCCCTTGTGGGACTAGGTGTCTCATACAATTTTCTTCAAGTTTCTTTGCAGTTTAACATTGTCATTATTACGATCTACCCGTCATTATTTAGCCCTTGTTCAACTAATTGTCTATGCACTTTCACAAACACAAAAGGATGCGGACGTCTGCTATGTGGATATCTTTTCCTATACTCTAGGGCTACTTCTGCTGAATTTCCGTTTGTAAACGCAACCTAACCCAACCCATGGGTAAACCCATTTGTAAACCCATGGGTTGGGTTGGGTTGGGTTTTACAAACGGAAATTCAGCAGAAGTAGTCCTAGAGTATAGGAACCCATTTGTAAACCCATTGGTTGGGTTGGGTTGGGTTGGGTTTTCAAACGGAAATTCAGCAGAAGTAGCCCTAGAATATAGGAAAAGATGTCCACATAGCATTTATGCATAAAGAAAATGAATATATATACAGGGTGTCTCACGTAACTGGTTCGTTAGAACTTTTTTAGGTTCCAGTATTCGTACAGTTTTGAAATTTTGGTAGTATGGGTTGTTCAGTCGGAACTTTCCGGTCTACCGGAAGTAGACCATAACTTCGTTATTTTAAATGGAATGCTCTACTTTTTATTACACCTTTTAATTGTACACAAAAAAATATGTTGACTTTCATAAAAGTTATTGGTACCAAGCGTTTTTCGTTTTCGAGTTATTTGGATTTTAAGGTTTTTTTGGTAAATTTCACCATGCTCTTTAAAATCCTATATTCCAGCCAACGTTCATTCAAATAAGCTCTAAATTGGCATGATTATAAAATATGGGGCGTTCTATTTAAAATTTTCGACTTTCTCCTCATTGAATATGGAGAAACGGTAATTCAATTTTTGACCACTCTGTATAAGATACTCCGATACAACAAATGACAATCTATTTGACAACATCTGAAGAGTAATCGTGCCAACGTAGATATTTTTTGAACGAACGTTGGCTGAGATATGGAGTTTTAAAGAGTATGTTGAAATTTTCCAAAAAAAAGCTTAAAACCAAAATAACTCGAAAACAAAAAACGCTAGGTACCAATAACTTTTATCAAAGTCAACCTATTTTTTTACGTACAATTAAAGTGTGTAATAAAAACTATAGCATTCCATTTAAAATAGCGAAGTTATGATCTACTTCCGGTAGACCGGAAGTGGCGGCCATCTTGAAAATATTTTAGAGCGAAAGTTCCGAATGAACAACCCATGCTACCAAAATTTCAAATCTCTACGAATAGTGGAAAATGAAAAAGTTCTAACGAACCAGTTACGTGAGACACTCTGTATATATATACAGGGTGGTTCAGTTTTTAATCGGGAAACTTTACTAGGATGTAGTACTTGCTAAAATAACACAATTTTTTTATATAAACATAGGCTCGCAACTCTTTTGTTTTCGTGCTATGAGCGATCAAAGTTGAGCCAAAAATTTACATTTTGTTTCGTATTTCGGTTGTAAGTAAACCGTACAATTTGAAACTTTGTACGTGTGTACTACTGGTTAACACCTTATTTTCTAGCATATCTTAAACTTCCTCAGCGCCCTCTAAGGGGATAAAATTCACCACCCCCTTGATTTTTTTTATAAGAACTTTTTAACGCCATAGAATATTAACATTAAAAAATATGGGTTGTAAAGCTCATTCGTTAACGGTACTTTTTTGTCTCTTTAGTATTTTCCTTAAAGTTACATTAAGGAAGGTTACTTAAGTTAAAAAGTTGTTATAAAAAAATCAAAGGGGTTGTGAATTTCATCCCCTTAGAGGGCGCTAGGGAAGTTTAAGGTATGGTTGAAAATAAGATATTAACCAGTAGTACATGCATACAAAATTTCAAATTCTATGGTTTACTTATACCTGAAATAAAAGATAAACTGTAAATTTTTGGCTCAATTTTGACAGCTCATAGCTCGAAAACAAAAGAGTTGCGACCCTATGTTTATATAAAAAACTTGTGTTATTTTAGCAAGTACTACGTTCTAGTAAAGTTTCCCGATTAAAAACTGAACCACCCTGTATATATTATATATCCGCTAACTCTTGGTTAAGAAAAATTTAACACTGATCAACAACTACTGGTGATTTGACACTTGATGCAATAAACTAAAACATTAGTAAACTTACCTACTTTATTTCAATGGCAAACATTATTATATCTATCTTTAACAATCCTCTAAAAAAATTGGTCTATATGGAATAATAAAAATCGGATTATCTTGAAAACGATCAACTTTAGCGCATTTTTATAAGAGTACCGTTTTTGCTTAAAAAATACTGAAAATAAGAATTTTTATTCAAAAAGTATACTGTCAGAAAAGTTATTGTTATTTTAATCCGTAAAGAATACATTACAGAGCGGCTATAGTAAAACGGACTCCATAATCGTCTTTCTCATTTCAGAAAACCTACGTATACCAAATTTGAATAGAAGCGGTTGAAATACACGTGTAATATTAAATGAAAATCATTGTAAAAATTTAATTTGAACACCCTGTATCTACAAAATAAAGCGTTTGTCGACTTATGTTTATATGAAGTTTTTGTATTAATTTTAAAAGATCTATCGACTGTTAAAGTCCTGCTACAAAAACCTGAAACACCCCTGTATATACTATATACCCAATCCAACCTGTATTGTAGTGGTTCGGTTCTTAGCTTAATAATTTAAAAAGATCCTTAACAGATGGCGCCACACAAGCTATTTTCTATGAATCAAGTCGTTCTAATTTTCTTTTATTGATCAAACATTTTTTTGACAAATTGAGAACGTAATTAAAAAAAAAACGAAAATCATGAGCGTTCACAAAAGCTCAATAAAAAAGAGTTCTCCTCCGGGCGATAACAAAACCAACGAAAGAATAAAAGAGTTAATTGAGAAAACGACAAAAATGAAATTGGCCGCGGACGATCACCACAACAAAGCGGAAAAGTACTTTCAACAGTTGCGGCAACGTTTGGATTCGAGCGGGGCTTTTTTACGTTCGGCTAAAAACGATATTGAAAATATAAAGTTTTTATTTCAAAGGGATCATATCAGTAAAATGAGCAGTCCCGAATATTTGGATAATATCGATAAAACGGATGAAGAAATCGAAGAGGAAATTAAACTCGTTCAAGAGAAATTAGGAAATTTACAAAACCGATTACAAACCCTTAACGGACAAACAAAAAGTGAAACGAAAACGTTTGAAGAGGCGATTTCGAAAACGATAAGTGCTTTAAGTGATGTTAGCGAAGGAAAATATGGGGACTAATAATCAAATTTTTATTTATATTTTTTTTATATACTCACATAAACTTTTCCATATACCCTCGGTTTTAATTTTTGTTTATTTAAAAATGTTCCATGAGTACTCGATAAATCAAATAAATAAAATCCTTTTGGGTTATCTTCCGATTCTATTTTTCTATATTGTAATATCGCGTGATATCTACAAATTAAATTTTAACAAAAATAACAGGAAAAGGCATAAAAAAAACCACCTTGATACAGTAGGATGTGCCATCGTTATATCACAATCATCTAATCTACCAATAACCGTAAAACTTTTCTTCATCAAATTAATCCTTTCAACTATTTGTCCCGATTTTAAAACCTCTAAAACATATTCATCATCGCAATCGGGGATTCCACCCCAATCTGGTTCTTTATAAGATAACTCAGCTGTTTGTTGTTGTGACTTTAATGAAGTATTCTCGATAATAGGGTTATCTTCTTTTTGAATCACTTCTTTTTCGGTTATTTCATTTTTGAGGGTTTCTTTTTTAACTTCATTTATAACTTTTTTAGGGAATTTTCCCACTTTCCCTATTAAAACCGGTTTTTTAAAGCTTTCTTTTTCCATTTTTATTAAACCAAATACACATAACCTCACTTTTTTGTTTGTATTTATGTTGTCAAGATTACAACTTTAAATCGAAAAAAAAAAACTTTTAGGTTACCTACCCTTCCTGTCATCTCGTTTTAATTGATTTTAATCAGCTGATTTTTAAGAAATCAAAACATTTCAAATTAATAAGTTTATTTACGTTCATATTTATCGAAAAAAATTAACGTACGCCGTAACGTTAAGAATAATTGGTTCGATTAACTACGTTTTCTACCAAATAGCCGTTTTTTGGCAAATTACTAAACCGCAATGGACAAATTACGAAAATCTCGGAGTAATAGTGATGGGGATTGACCCCAAAATTTGCAGCATTTTTACGAAAAGAACGATGATGTGATATTCCAATATATAAAGAGTGTGAATTAATTACTCTTTCTTCCTTCTTTATGTATAAAGTATAATATACAGGTGGTCATTATGTATGGAATATAGTATATACAGGTGATTCACATAAGAACCGACACATAGCAGGGACATGTAGAGGACAATAAATTAAGATGATTTAACGTAACTTACCTCTATACTAAGCTGTACACCTCAGGAGTTATAGGCCTTCAAAGTTGGCTCTTAAGTTTTCAAAAAGTTCAATATCTTTGTAATACATTAAGCTAGAAAAAACAAATTTGGTATTCGTTAGGAGTGTACCAAGTTTACTGCAAAAATAAGTCAATAAATAAAAATAAAAACAAAACGTTGCGTTAAAATGCCTAATAATAACGAATAAAATTAATTTGACGTTTACAAAGTTAGGTTAGGTTTTATCTTTGTGCATAATCACGTGAGAAATTAAAAATCCTTTAATTTGAGTCCAAACACCACCCAATTATCTTAAAAACCACCCGAGATATCCCACATTTAATTTTGATATAACCTCAAAAAAGTGACAACCGGAAGTTGGTGGTGTATGTTGTTTTTTAAGATAACTCGACCGAGTTTAGGCTCATTTTAAAGGGAATTTAATGTAGATTACGAATACGATGTTAGATTAATCAAATTCGATAGTAATAAAAACAAAATGGAAGATGATTTAAGAAAAATGATTCGATTCCAACGAAATTAAATTCACCGGGTATTTTTAGATCTAGAAATAAAGAATTTTATTATTATTTAATTAAAACTATTAATCAAGATGGCGAAAAATATGAAACAATATCAATTTGACGTTTACAACGTGAGGTTAGGTTCTTTTTTTTATTCATAATCGGGTGGGGAATTAAAAATCGTTTAAATCGAGTCCAAACACGACCTAATTATTTTAAAAAACATCCGAGATATTCAACATTTAATTTTGATATAACCTCAAAAAAGTGACAACCGGAAGTTGGTGGTGTATGTTGTTTTTTAAGATAACTCGACCGAGTTTAGGGTCATTTTAAAGGGAATTTAATGTAGATTACGAATACGATGTTAGATTAATCAAATTCGATAGTAATAAAAACAAAATGAAAAATGATTTAAGAAAAATGATTCGATTCCAACGAAATTAAATTCACCGGGTATTTTTAGATCTAGAAATAAAGAATTTTATTATTATTTAATTAAAACTATTAATCAAGATGGCGAAAAATATGAAACAATATCAATTTGACGTTTACAACGTGAGGTTAGGTTCTTTTTTTATTCATAATCGGGTGGGGAATTAAAAATCCTTTAAATCGAGTCCAAACACGACCCAATTATCTTAAAAAGCACCCGAGATATTCAACATTTAATTTTGACATAACCTCAAAAAAGTGACAATCGTGTCTTTTAAGATAACTCGACCGAGTTTGGGCTCGTTTTAAAGAGAATTTAATATAGATTACGAATACGATGTTGGTTTAATTAAATTCTGTCAAAATAAAGACAAAATGGCGGATAATTCAATGAAAAATAATTCGATTTGAACGAAATTAAGTTCGCGGGGGACTTTTAAGTAAAAATATAGAATTTCGCTATTATTTAATTAAAATTATTAATCAAGATGGCGGAAAAAAATCAAATAATATTAATTTGACGTTTATAAAGTGAGGTTAGGTTTTTATTTATTCACGATCGTGCGGGGAATTAAGAATGCTTCAAATTGAGTCCAAACTCGACCCAATTATCTTAAAAAGCACCCGAGATATTCAACATTTAATTTTGATATAACCTCAAAAAAGTGACAATCAGAAGTTTGTTATCTTTTAAGATAATCCCATCGAGTTTGGGCTCGTTTTAAAGAGAATTTAATTTAGATTATGAATACGATGTTGGATTAATCAAATTTGATAATAATAACAAAATGGCGGATTATAAAGGAAAAATTATTCGTTTAATTAAGCTTTTAGATCAAAAAATAAAGTTTTTCGTTATTATTTATAAGATTTATCACTATTTTGCATATTTTTATTGAATTAAACTAAAACTAACACTAGACCTAGAACTAGAATCATTCGACAAGCAACTGCAATATTTGGATCTTAATCACCATGGTAACCGAGTCAAGTTGGATAACCTTAAAATAATAAAATTTTATTCCGATTTTTTTATCAATTCTAACCTAATTTTTATTAATTTTAAAACAATTCGAATTCTTTACGATTATCTCGCATTCATAACAAATTCGTTAATTGTAGTTCATTTAAATCGATTCTAATTAAGAGAAATAAATTAAAAATATCTTTTTTTTTTATTTAATCCATTTACCTTGTTTATAATATCCTAGATAAACCAATTTTGAGTTAAATACAGCCTTTTAAACCAATTAAATAAGACTTTTTCCTTAAAAAAACTTAAATTCATTTTGACAAGCACCTGCAATATTTGGATCTTAATCACCATGGTAACCAAGTCAAGTTGAATAACCTTAAAATAATAAAATTTTATTCCAATTTTTTTATCAATTCTAACCTAATTTTTATTAATTTTAAAACAATTCGAATTCTTTACGATTATCTCGCATTCATAACAAATTCGTTAATTGTAGTTCATTTAAATCGATTCTAATTAAGAGAAATAAATTAAAAATATCTTTTTTTTTTATTTAATCCATTTACCTTGTTTATAATATCCTAGATAAACCAATTTTGAGTTAAATACAGCCTTTTAAACCAATTAAATAAGACTTTTTCCTTAAAAAAACTTAAATTCAATTTCAATTTTGACAAACACCTGCAATATTTGGATCTTAATCACCATGGTAACCGAGACAAGTTGGATAACCTAACAATAATAAAATTATAACCGTTAATATTTCGCTTTTAATATTGTTGTATATTGCTTCTTTTTAGTGAAATATACTGTATATAAAACATAGAAATATCAATTTTTCCAATGATGTCACACCAAAGCCTTTGCGGGGGGATACGTTCATAACAACAGTGTCCATATGGAGTTTTATAACATTATACAGTATATTTACTTAACGGACCTTGATCCATTTTAATATGATTTTAATGAAACCAAATACACATAACCTCACTTTTTTGTTTGTATTTATGTTTTCAAGATTGCAACTTTAAATCGAAAAAGAAATCTTTTAGGTTACCTACCCTTTCTGTCATTTTGCATTAATTGATTCTAATCAGCTGATTTTTAAGGTTATATCTCAAAAATCAAAACATTTCAAATGAGTAAGTTTATTTACGTTCATATTTATCGAAAAAAATTAACGTACGCCCTAACGTTAACAATAATCGGTTCGATTATCTACGTTTTCTATCAAATAGCCGTTTTTTGGCAAATTACTGAACCGCAACGGCCAAATTACGAAAATCTCGGAGTGATAGTGATGGGGATTGACCCAAAATTGCAGCATTTTTACGAAAAAAACGATGATGTGATATTCCAGTGTATAAAGAGTGGTGAATTAATTAGTTACGATAAGATTAACGACGATTATTGTGATTGCTCGGATGGGAGTGATGAGCCGGGGACGAATGCTTGCGGGAACGGAGAATTTTATTGTTTATTTAGAGGAAAATATGGGAAATATCCACGAAAAATTCCTTCGGATAAAGTAAACGATCGTGTTTGTGATTGTTGTGATGGATCGGATGAGTGGAAGCATCAGGGTTTATTAGCGTTAGATGGATATAAAATTTCCAATAAGTTTAAATTTGCTAGTTGTCCCAGAGTTTGTTTAAATTTTAATAATTAGAATTAATAAATTTGTTATTAATAAAAATTAGTGTTTAAATAAAATGGTGCCATCTAGTAGAGATCGCTTTAATTTAATAATTCAAATAAACGCCGATAGATGGGGGAATAAATTTCAAATTTGATTTAAAATTTCAAATTAGATTAGAAAAGTAGGTGGTCTTAAAGATATTCAAGGAATTTCGTTTTAAGACGTAGGTTTTCGAGTATGGGCGATAAATTTGTCCCGTGAAAGTGTTTTGCAAATCGCCTCCGTACGAATGTAATCGTATAGGTTACAAATTACGTCTTTTTAAATAATAATTTTTTTTTCATTTTACGTAATTATTAATTCTCCCTCTCTTTTGAAAAACAATTCGAAGGTTAAACGTTTTCATTGGATCTCGTTCGGGTGAAACGTGAAACTCGCAATCGTTTCCGTATTTAAATAATCATTTTCTAGATCTTTATAAAACGAAAAAAAAAAAAAAAAGGATTGTACGCACGTAATGTTTAACACACTCGTTAAAGCAATAAAATCAACAATAACACGTCATTAGAAGGAGTAAGCCATAAACTTAAACTTTATTAAGTTTATTGTCGTAGATGCGAAAACTGAGAAGTTGCGCTTCTAATAAATGGTTATTGTAGAGATTTATCGTTTGTTAATCGCATTAGAAACAATTTGAACAATATCGTGGTCATTAATTAACAATTTTGTTATAAAATTTATTTATAAATAATTTTAGGTTGGCACTAATTAAAAATACTAAACGTCAAATTTATGAAATGTCAATTTGACACCTACTTATATTATAAAATAATTTTTTAACATTAATATCAACAACCAGATCATATTTATTAATAAATAACAACGTCGTACGTTTTAAGAACGTTTTATAAAACGTTACAATAGGAGATATACACCGAGTACAACGTCAAACGTCGATTGAGTGAGTGTATTTTTAAGAATTATATCATGCAAACGCCTTTTTTTACCATCCTGTTTATAGAGAGACTTAAAAACATCTATATTGGAGTTAAAAAATAATGTTTTATAAAGAAATCGTTTCGAATAGGTTTTTTTCATTTCAATGACAAGGTCACTGACAAAAAGAACTTAAAAAAACCTTGACTTCGTAAGGTTGTAACCCGACGTCGACTTCTGGCTCTGTTGTTGTAACAAAAACCTAAAGGCAACGCTGGGGCACAAAGAGAACCAGTGAAAGTGAGAGAAGCATCGGAAAAGAGTCGGAGACTTCTTTGGAGGGAGAGTTGGAAGTCAACACAAGTCATTGATATATTTAGAACTGATACTTCTCTTTATTTCTTTATTCATTTTGAAATCGTGCGATGACTTTTTTAAAATGCAAATTATTAAAAAGTAAAGGAACTTCTCGGAAAAGTCGGATCCTTTTCGAATATTAACTAAATAAAAATGTAACGCATTTACCAGAAAGCTAAGAGTAAATAAAAATCTATTTTGATTAATGCCATCACAGATTGGTTTGTAATTTCGAGGAATACAAGCGGATTTTAATTTGATATTCTTGCTTGAAGCGATGTCGTCATGGCTTTCATACATAAAAAAAGGTAGCGATCATCCTGGTTAATGAGAACATCGCGGTAAAAACAAAGGAAAATTATTATCGACTACCGACGATGTGACACACTCAGAATGACCGTTAGTAATCTTCTGAAAGGTGACGTCAAGTTCTTTGGTTCATTGCGGAACTTTAAATGCATTGAGAAAGGTAAAGAATTAATAATATAATTTACTCTATTCATTCTACATGTTAAGTTTTGTTGAATCATACAAATAACATCATTAAAATTTATAATTCAGTTAAATTTCTTTTTATTTAGGAAATTTAACTTTTTAGGGTTGGTACTAAAAAATATTTAGAAATGTCAAATTTAAATGACAATGAAATTCAAGATTTTTTTTACAGTATTGGTGTCACATTTTCAAAGATATTTAGATTAATTAAGCCGAGGTCGCTTGCGGCCGAGGCAGTTCATTGATATTATACTGATATGAAAGGCAACAATTTTTAACCATATTTATTATAGGTAAGCCGAGGTCGCTTGCGGCCGAGGCAGTCTATTGATATTGTACTGATATGAAAAGCGACAATTTTCAACAATATTTAATATAGGTATGACGAACTCGCTTGCGGCCGAAGCAGTTCATTGATATTGTACTGATATGAAATGCAACAATTTTCAACATTTATCATAATTCATAATTATTAACACTCTAATAGTCGCATGTCATCTAAAAGATGACGTAGACAGTCTGACTGGACTGGAAAATATATACAGGGGGTCACACAAAAAACACCCCAAGCTGTAACTCTGTTATTTACCTTCTGATTCTCATGAACGAGGTATCAAATGAAATGGTTTGATGAATGCTATGATTCATGCTACAAATAAACATTTTCCAATGCCAACTTCAATTTCAAGCGATTATCAACTTTTGATTCTCAAATCGCTCGGTATGTTTTTCTTCACGTTATTGGATTAAGATTTTTTTCTGAACCCAATGATGTACAATACATTAACATTAATTGTAATTTTAGCAGAGAAAAACAATAAAAAAAACATTTTCCAAACATTGTCTGTCTTAGTGACTTCTGTAATACTGTAGTGTGTCATGGAAAAAAATAACGCGCAAGACTGATAACAATCATTAAATGCTTATAAGTTGTTTTTTTATTTTTTCCCATGGCACACTACAGTATAACACAAGTAACTTTAAGAGAATGTTAGGAAACTAACATAATTAATGTTGATGTATTATACATTAATGGATTCAAAAAAGGAATCTCTATCCAATAGCGTGAAGAAAAACACACCGAGCAATTTGAAAATCAAAAGTTGATAATCGCTTGAAATTGAAGATGGCATTGGATAAAGTTTATTTATAGTATGAATCATAGTTTTCATCAAACCTTCATGAGGTCAATACGACAGATAACAATTTTCAACAATTTTTATTATAAATAAGCCGAGGTCGCTTGCGGCCGAGGCACCAGATCAATATTATACAAATACGAAAGATAACAATTTTCAATGATTAAACTAAGATTAGAACTAGAACTAACACTAGAAACTTTCGGGTTTTGCCGTGCGTCTTTGAATAAAAGGTTTGACGTTTCGGATGCCATGTTGCAACCTTCTTCAGAAACTGGTTCGAAGTGACACGAAGTGTTTTATTAATTTTTTATAAGTTTTTATAAGACACGAAGTGTCACTTCGAACCAGTTTCTGAAGAAGGTTGCAACATGGCATCCGAAACGTCAAACCTTTTATTCAAAGACGCACGGCAAAACCCGAAAGTTTCTAGTGTTAGTTCTAGTTTTAGTTCTAATCTTAGTTTAATTCACACCGGCCGTGNCAAACCTTCATGAGGTCGCTTGCGGCCGAGGCAGCAGATCAATATTATATCAATACGACAGATAACAATTTTCAACAATTTTTATTATAAATAAGCCGAGGTCGCTTGCGGCCGAGGCAGCAGATCAATATTATATCAATACGACAGATAACAACTTTCAAAAATATTGATTATAAATAAGCCGAGGTCGCTTGCGGCCGAGGCACCAGATTAATATTACCAGAAAGATAACAATTTTCAATGATGTTTATCATAATTAAGCCGAGGTCGCTTGCGGCCGAGGCAGTTCTTTGATATTATACTGACATGAAAGGCAACACTTCTTAAGGATGTTTATTATAATTAAGCCGAGGTCGCCTGCGGCCGAGGCAGTCCATTGATATACTGAAATAAAAAGCAACAACTTTTAAGGATATTGTCGCAAGCGACCTCGACTTAAATAAATAACAAATCCTTGTAGACTGTGCAGAAGACTATATCACATAGCGTTTCAGCCGCAAGCAACCTCGGTTTACCTATTGTAAATACAGGGTGTTTCATAATATATGCGCAGGAGTTCAGGATGTAATAGTTTGTCCAAAAATTTGAAAAAAAAGTTTCTATCAACTTACCCTCTAAAATACACCATTTTCGAGATGCAGGGTAAATTGAAATTTAATAAAAAAAACTTTTTTTGCGAATATCTCCGGAACCGTTTATCGCACAGAAAACAGCGTTTGTAAGCATTTTCTACTCTTAATTAGCAAAGTTTTGTGCGAGAAAAAATTTTTTTAAAGTCATAATTGGTGAAGATTTTGAAGGGGTAGTGGTTGTTTTTCTCCCCAACTTCTACGCCACTGGAAAAAGTATGGTTTTGAGACGCTCATTTTAACCGTCAATGTTTTCTACACAAAAAAGGTATTGTAGGTCATGAGCTTTAAAGTTGACAGTTTTCTAGAAAAATCAATTTTTATGTTGAAAAAAATGGTCAATTTTTTGAAATAAAAATTTTATTTTACAATCAAACAAAGTTTATGGAAACGTTAGAACAAGTAACAAAAGCAAGCTAGATACAAAAGTTGCATTTTAGCGTTTGTGTAAGAAGTTGTATAATTTTTTATAAGTAGGCTTTAAATTTTATAACAAAAGCTACCTCTTGTCAAAATAACAATACATACACAACCGCTGAAATGTGCGAAAGGCATTACCTTTACGGAATGGCATGCGGTAATTCGGCAGAAGCAAGAAAGATATCCTGATCGCCCAGTACCACACCATAACTTGTTTCTACGCATTCACCAACGACTATGGGAAAATGGAGGAATACTGTTGATAATCGGCGATTTATGGATGTTGCAAATCCCCAAGTAGAACTAAGAAATTGATGAAAATCCGACCACAACTACCAGAAAAATTGCTCACAACTTAAATCTATCTCACTCGACAGTTTTGAAAGGAGAGTTTTGAAAAGGAAACTTTTGTATCCCTACCATATCCAAAGAGTACAAGTCTTATTGCTAAGATTGGCTTTTTGTACATGGATGCAAGACAAAATAGCTCAAAATCCTGAGTTTGGAGCCGAAGTTCTGTTTACCGATGGATGGTATTTTCAATTTTTATAATACCCACGTATGGGCAAAAGAAAATCTATATAAAATTGCAGAAGGCCATCATCAGCAACAATTTTTCGTATATGTTTGGGCTGCCATCGTCGGTGATCATTTGATAGGCCCACATTTTTTACCTAACAGATTAAACGGTGCAGATTATTGACAATATGTAGAAGAAGTACTACCGGAACTGGTGGAAGATGTACCGCTTCAAGTAAGACAAAACATGTATTTTATGCATGATGAAGCTCCGGCCCACTTTAGTTTGGTTGCTCGCCAATACTTGGACGACGAATACCCAAACCGTTGGATTTCCCAAACTTAATTGTTGATTTTCGCAAAAAACGAATATTTTAGAGGGAGTTGATAGAAACTTTTTCCAAACTTTTGGATAAGCCATCACATCTTGAAGTCCTGCGCATATATTATGAAACACCCTGTATTGTTGAAAATTATTGATTTTCTATCGATTCAATATCGATGTAGCGCCTCGGCTTAATTGTAATAAATATCCTTGATAATTGTTGACTTTCTATCGATGCCTTTTATTATTTTTAATTACAAAAAGTTTCTAAAAAGAATCGAAAAAGTAGTTTTTGTTATTGGGAATTTTAATTTTTTGAGGTTGGTATAATTTGAAAATTCTTAGAAACGTCAAATCATACGTCAAATTTAATTCTTATGTTAATAAGATAAGATTAATTAAATTTTAAGCGATTTTTTTTGTCAAAAAAATAAATCTAAAGTAAGAATAAAAGAAAGAAAATTTTGTAAAAAGTAGATAAAGTTTTAATATAAGTGCGAACGATAAACCACCAATATATCGATGACGTAAACCGTTCGTTTTGTCGTTTTTCTGTCTCACATGCAAGTAGCGTTCTTTGAGGCTGTTAGACACGAACGGAGAACGGAGAATCAACGATGGGGGAACGTTATAAAAAGATAAAACCGTTCGGCGCGCGCCCCATACTGGTGGGAGAGACATGAACGGCACAGCACTTTGGCCGTCGACTTACCGACTAAATAGTATTTTAGTCCCCGCGAAATCGTCGCTATCCGCGTAACGTTCCGTTTACAACGAATTTTTTTTTCATTTTCTTTTATCCTCATCTCTCTCTTTAAAGGACGACGTTGTTTTACTTTTTGGAACGTTTTCGCGAATAAGAAATGCGCGCGAAAATGGCACGCGTATTTATTATTTATCCAGTTAGATAAAAATAAATAACAAAATTAACTAAAACAAAAAGAGGCAAAGAAATAAGAAGAAATAAGATTGTTTTAAAAATGTTGTGTTTGATTTTGAAGATAAATTTGAATTTAATTTTTGGTGACACGAAGAAATTTTTAAAATTTTTTAATAAAACGCTAATATTTTAATCGTTAAAAATAATGAACGAGATGTTGACTTGAAATATTTTGGAAGATGGAAAGCTTTGTGATGTCCGGACATGGAAACGATCTGAAATTGAAAAGGTTTAGAACGGCCGCTACAAATCTTTTTAAGAAAAC